CTAAACAGTGATAATTTGAAAAATTAATGACACATATCGGCTGACAATAAGATAAAGAACTTATGTAAAATATAAATGATAATTCGTCTTAGAAAGATAGCTATGGTGGTTAAGTATGGGATATTCAAAAAGTTATGTGTAGTGATAAAAAATATCTATGTATTATAGTCGTAGAACGTCGTGGAACGTAGACATAAGACGAGAAAGATCTTTTATATTGTTAATTATATATGTTAAAATATGTAAAGGCTGACGAAAATATTCGAGCCTTACATTGCAAAAAGATTTAGCACATTCGAATGGCAACCATAAATTTCATGTTCTATACAACACACGTGATAAAGGTTTTTAGAAATGTTTGATTACTTTCCTGAATCGCTGAAAATATCGTCCACTTTTACCAATACCCTGTACATTGTGTGTATTCCTTCTTACACCGAACGATTATTTAAAATCTCCTCTGTTAATATTAATGTCGCTACCTCTAACAAAATGAATGTACTTTGCTGACGCAATTGCAGCGTAGAAAAATCCTAAAATATCTAGAGAAGCTTCAAAACTTCATTTGTTTACGCCAGAATAATTTGCAGAGATATTTCAAATAATACCGAGTGGCAGATATTGATAAGAGCATTTAATTAAAAATAACTGCAAAATATCGATAAAGCGTCTACCGATGTAGATTAGGGTAATGGTAAATCCGATGTGGAGATTATACTTTTATTTTGTGTCTATGAAACTTTTTGGAAGATGCGAACATTTGCCAGCCTTGAGTGCAAGTTTATTCTTAGGTAGAAAACCAGGTGCAGAAAAATAACGAAATACCGAACGTTATTCACGTAGAGGCACGTGAAAAGGATTTCTAAATTTATTCGTAAAAGCAGAAACTAAAAAGCAGTCTACAAAAGCTGGCGTCCGACGCTAGAATAAGATGACAAATTGGTGTCGAGAAGACGTAAATATTAATATTTACCTGTGGCCAGGAAAACAGCATATGTTCGTCGTATCGTAATACAGACAGTCAAAAGAACTAGAATTTTTGCATCACAGACGAGATTAGAAGCATATCATGACTTATGTCACTATTAGCTAACATATTACTGATATCTGTATTTGCCTAAATATAATAAATAATTAGGAAAAATTCATATGTATTTCCTTTCCTATTTCATAAAGTAACACTGGGATTAAGAATTTTTAGTTCTTTTTCCTCGTTGCTTTCTGAAAATTTTACTTGAACAACGTGGAAGTTTTTCCTGAATCGCTGAAAATATCGTCCACTTTTACCAATACCCTGTACATTGTGTGTATTCCTTCTTACACCGAACGATTATTTAAAATCTCCTCTGTTAATATTAATGTCGCTACCTCTAACAAAATGAATGTACTTTGCTGACGCAATTGCAGCGTAGAAAAATCCTAAAATATCTAGAGAAGCTTCAAAACTTCATTTGTTTACGCCAGAATAATTTGCAGAGATATTTCAAATAATACCGAGTGGCAGATATTGATAAGAGCATTTAATTAAAAATAACTGCAAAATATCGATAAAGCGTCTACCGATGTAGATTAGGGTAATGGTAAATCCGATGTGGAGATTATACTTTTATTTTGTGTCTATGAAACTTTTTGGAAGATGCGAACATTTGCCAGCCTTGAGTGCAAGTTTATTCTTAGGTAGAAAACCAGGTGCAGAAAAATAACGAAATACCGAACGTTATTCACGTAGAGGCACGTGAAAAGGATTTCTAAATTTATTCGTAAAAGCAGAAACTAAAAAGCAGTCTACAAAAGCTGGCGTCCGACGCTAGAATAAGATGACAAATTGGTGTCGAGAAGACGTAAATATTAATATTTACCTGTGGCCAGGAAAACAGCATATGTTCGTCGTATCGTAATACAGACAGTCAAAAGAACTAGAATTTTTGCATCACAGACGAGATTAGAAGCATATCATGACTTATGTCACTATTAGCTAACATATTACTGATATCTGTATTTGCCTAAATATAATAAATAATTAGGAAAAATTCATATGTATTTCCTTTCCTATTTCATAAAGTAACACTGGGATTAAGAATTTTTAGTTCTTTTTCCTCGTTGCTTTCTGAAAATTTTACTTGAACAACGTGGAAGTTATTGCAAAGCTGGGAGGTTTGAAATTCGTTAAGAAAAAAAATGTAAGAAGCTATGTTAGTCAATTTTGTGAGTTGGATAGCATAGAAATGTGACAATGTCGCAAACACTGTCTTTTAAAATTTGGCTTTCACAATCATTGTGTCTGCATTGCTCAAAGTACTCAACATTCGTCCATGATACAGTAGCTTCAGGTGCAGATTTTCATTGCTCTTTATATATTATCAATTAATAAATAGAATCTGGAACGCAATTTTTGTATTCTTCATTTTATTTCTTAGGGAGATACCAATACTCATCTATACCAAACTTCGATGCTGAACGTCCTCCTCAATATTCTCCAAAGACCTACTTACGCTTATACATATTTCATAATCGATACCTTTATGTATTGGAAAACGCCAGAAGCGTTACAAATCATTTCAAACTTCTGTTCAACTCGAACAAAACTCTTCACTGGGGTGAATACATTAATGTATGAATAGAAGTATGATGGATTTGAATAATAAATATGAATAAGTACGTAATTATGTAAAAATGAACGTAACCAAGACACTTATTATGACTAAAATTCCATCGTTACGTAAATGTTATTATCATTGCTTTTTTGTTGTCATAAAACACAAAAATCTAAAGTGTCCTAAAAAGAATGATACAATATCAAACGGCGGATGAAGATACGAGTGAAAATATAATTGACTATGAAAATCATATACACGTTATTACCCTTACTATGTAATGAATTTTAACTCTGCTGTCCTCCTCGGTTTTATGACCCAAAATCGTTGTTATATTTCAATAGATATTGTTAAAATATACATAGACTTTAGACATTTGGTTTTATTATTCCAGTGAACTGTTATATCTTTTGTGTATTCCACGCTTTCCGTAAATAAAATAGAAGATGTCTGAAGAGATGCAAAGGTGAAGAAGAGGTGAGGAGATCTGCAAAGTTAATCAATTAATAGCATTTCAAAGTATCGTACAATGTCCAACAATACACCAACTCCGAGTTCAAACTGTGAAAAACCAGAGTTTTACCAAACACAAATACATTTATTATTCCAATAGTCATTGAAAAGGTACAATTATGCAGAATGGGCGACACCTCACCTGATTTCAATAATCATAACGTATGTTGTCAACAACCCTTCAAATTCCAACCATTTAGAAACAACAATTTCACATGCACCAATCTAAGGATTGGTCGTCGATGATACCGTGTATCGATAAACGTGTCCGAAGCTTGGATTTGTTTAAGGTAAAGAGGGTGAAGACGAATACGAGCGAATTTAGCTTGGCTGCTGCGTAGCCGAGGGTCCACGGGTTATCTTGTTCGAACAGAGCAGAGCGATGGAACTTTATCATTCGCGAGTCCCGCTCCGTTTCACACAGAATTTTTACGAGACACACGTCTGACAAGCAAACGTACACTTACACCAATGGCATGTCTATGTTAATTGCATAACCGTGTATCGATTCACACCGCTAACACTTTCATAATTAATGAAACTCGTTAATGGCTATTAATACCGTCGGAATTATATTTTTTACTATCTTTCGGGCTTTAAGATGGTTTTGTATACCAACAAGCCTATAAATAAGCGTGTTTCATAAATATAATCGGTGTTTGATTTAGTGTATTAGCGATTAGTGTATTAACGATTTCTATACAACGATGTACATTATGGAATGAAACTTACACTACAATTTCTGTCACTAACTTCCGGTAAAAGTAACGTTTTATTTTAATAAGACGATTAATACTTTCCAGATTCTACACCATACCAGTTATACCGATGTTTCGACATAAGTAATTTAAATTTATTGTATAAAAAGCTGATTCACACGTACTGCATTCAATTGTTATTTTCCTTATTAATTTGTTACGGCGTCTTCTTCTGAGTTGTCTAATATGTCTGGTAGCGTTGATGGAATGAAAAATGCTGAATTGACAGAAAACATCAACTCGCATATTTAATTTAGACATAAGTATTCGTTTTGATAAATAGTTTGAATTTATAATATAATTTATTCATTCTAAGGAGGTAATTATTATTGCACTTAGTCATTCATTGATTCGATGTCTACTAAAACTAAGCGATGCCGATTAATCTATTAAGGACCAAACGGTCATCACTAAACGTGGGACATTTATACATTTACGGAAAATTTAAAGATGTAAAAATACACAGGATTTGTATAATAAATAAAAATGTATGGAACATGCGTAGTATTCGATGTAATATTTGGTGAGTGAAGAACATCTCTGTTTAGATTCCAATTTTCTCATTGTGCCCATAAAAATTCGCATAAGTATCCGTAGGCTACTTATCACATAAAACAGCCTATACTTACATCCCTTAAAACATAACCTATATATACGATATAGACTATATTTATATGCTTTAAAACATAACCTATATATACTATATAGACTTTATTTATCTACTTATTTAAATATTAAATAAGTTAAATATTAACTTATTAAACATTTAATCTACTTATATTTTGAATATATTTTAAATATTTTATCTACTCGATGAAAAGAGAAAAAGGAAAAAAGAAAAAGACGGTCTTGTTAGAAAATAGATGTGTGTACATCTGTATTGTACGAGCGAGGAAGTGAAAAAGAGGAAGACAAAAGGAAAACGCCATGAGACGAGCGCGTCGCGTATGTATTGAATGAACGAATGTGCAATAAAACAAATTCATTCCTGTTTGAGATGTACAAGTGAATAGATCAGTGTACGTTAATACTTCAAGTTATTCTGTTATATATAAAATACTTATTCTGTTACATATAAATGTTGTATTTAATAAAACATTATATCATTACTTTAACAGGTCTTAAAGTTACTCACCGTACGCGGAGGGGGAAGAAGAGTTTATCGATGGTCCTTCGGTATTCTGCGGCTGCTCCTCCATTTCAAGGTCACCGGAGATGCACTACACATCTGCGCATGCGCGATTGTTAACCCGCCAACGAACGTTTCACGTGATTTTACCTTCGAACCGGCAATCGGTCAGCGAATATTTCGGAAATATGTCTGCTATGATATAGCAGATATTTACTTTTTTCCTGACTTGTTATCGTCCAGAGACGCTTTGGTTTTTCTGTCTTTCCTCTCAATCGTTCTTCTTACTTCTTTTTTTTCTTTTTTTTTTTTTGGTGGAGATTAGACAGCAGCCATGTTGACACGCGGATGGGGGAATTTGTTATCTGGAACAGAAACGAACGGGTGGTCAGATTGAAACGAATTGCCCAATGATTATTCGTTTATTGTATTAATTGTAAACAAGCATAGACTAACATACGTAAAAAGTATAGAAAACAAAATACAGTTTCGTAGGAGAAACTGCTTGCAGTATGCATGCATAAATATTTCTCTAAATTAGCGTGGAACGTCTTGTATTATGGACAAAATGATCTGTAAAAAGAGAAGCAAGAAAGACTTGGGTCACTGATCGGGTCAATGTTTTGGACGAATCAATGCCAGCTGTAAAAAGCAATCGATTTAATCGCACGAAAAAACCTTCTGATACACGTTCCTTGATCCCAATTCTTCGTTGTTCTATCGTCAGAAATTATTCTAGGCCAAATAGTTTTCTTTCATATTCCTTCCTCTTATTGTAGACAGAACGGAATATTTGGCACAAATAAATTGAATTATTTTTGTACATCGTGTTTATTATGATAAACACGATTACAGTACCAATAACACTTCAGAATGTTTTGGGTAATACATATAGTATGGACATAAAAGTTTTCTATGGTTCGAATACTTTTGAGAGCTAGTGTATATCTAAATTTTTTAATCGTTATTTCGAAATTTTCTTTACTTATAGAATTTTCAATCGAAATAGATTTAAATTTATTATTTCAATAATAATAATCGTGACGAAACAGTTTGGATGGAAAATTTATTCATAATTTATCTGTTGATATTCGAGGTACCAAAGGGAATTTCTAATTTAAAGATCGAATATAAAATACAGATGTGCTTTGAGAATTGCAGGTTTTACTAATACTATCGTGACGGTCGTGTCTCACTACACGCTAATAAAATCTCAGAATGTTTTATATAATACAATATATGCATAAAATTTTTGTTCCAGTACTTTTCATGGATAATTCAATATCAATAGTCTATTGGTTCTCAAACCTCGATATGTACCTATAACGCCGATGAAAAGAGCGGCGTCCCCTCCATGTTTTAAATGCTACACACGTGAGTCCATCAGAGGATTCAGTAAGTAAACGTCGATTCAATGCGATCAATTCCGAAGTAAGCTGCATCGATAAGAAGTACCATTGGCAGCAGGCAATCGTTTTCCCAGAAAAGGACGAAAAAAGAGCGTAATTCATTCTCACTCGTCGTTCGCGTGGTCCCCGTCATATCTTGTTAATAGTGAAACAAATCCACTGTCGTATGCGACGAGACCGATGAATACACAAGAAATAATGGCGATACGCGCAAGCGCACCGTCAATTCACGGCATGACGCGCATGCGCAACATCGACTTACGGCGCGCGAAATGAAACGACACTATGCGCTGGCGCTACGTCAATTCACGGCGCGGGCAAAACGAAGCGAATCATGCGCATGCGCAGTATCGATTCACGACAGGTGAATCCGATCAGCCGGAAAGCAATCGCACTACTGTTGTGTTGACCGTCGCCGGCGTTCGACGCGCCTTTAAGTTGCGCGCGTGGGGACAATGTCATTTGGTTTCCTGTTCCGTCTGTCCACGTTTCACTTGGACATCTCATTAGAGCATATATGTACGTTCGCTAGAATGGCTAGAACGCTAGGCAGTCGAGCGTCACGTGTGCTGTGCACGAATATCAATTGAACAGATTCTACGTAATATTGAATTAGTATCCACCGATGAATTTACACGATCGCATGTGGAACAATGTTTACATATTCAACGTTGCATTTAAGGCTATATCAGATTAATTTTCGTTGCAGGCAAGATGAAACAAGTTTATGACCTGCTTGTGTCGATTTTGGCTGATTTAGATTGTTTATAAAAGGATACAAGATTTTATGATACTGTTAATGATTCAGGGTATCGTATATATGTACTGAAATTTTATTGATTAGTATGGCGGTGTTGTATTAGAATCATTAACATGAACATTTGTTAAATTTAATTTGTTGATAATAGATCAAGATTTCAACGAATTTTTTTCATTCGAAGACATTACAGACAAAATAGACGTTTATAATTATAATTAATGAATTCTATCTACATGTATGTTAAACAATGTTGTATGTTATATGTATATTGTATATGTATATATGTTGTATGTTAAGTGTATATGTGTAAGTGTAGTGTCTCGAAACAATTAAAAATAACTTTATACGTTTCTCCTTAACAAGTTGCTATATCACTGTAGTAACTTTATAAGGGTAATGAGACCATTTAGAAACTAAAGCTAAATTAACGGAGAAAATTTAGTGGTATTCCTTTAATCCTATTAATTGATTCGTGTCGATCCTATTTATTTTTACTAAATCCTATTTTACTAATTATTTATACTAAAGACACCATTATGTCATTGCATTTTTGTTATAGCAGAGAAATTTACTGTTCAAAATATTTTCATTGAAATCTATAGTTATACGAAAAATTCTTTAATTTTATTGTTCTATTATTATTGTAGTTGCAGCTAATAATAATAATAATACCTTATTTTATAATAAACAATGGTAGCTGTATTACGAAAAATTATGCAGTTAATAATTTGCAGTTATCACAGGTAATTCCTTCAACGGTTTTTAGGAATTGTTGATAACAAATAAAATATGACTTTTGAAGATAATTCTTATCGCTATAATTAATAATAAAAATAACACAAAACAATTCACATTTGAAAAACTTACAATTTATTATAATTGATTAATTTATATTATAATTATAATTTCAATTTATTATAATTGAATCTAATACAATATTTCTTACTTAGTTCCATGTTTCTCCACTTACGTGTAATTTTTAAATACTTCAATTATATCTCTTTACGTAGCTTTTCTATTTATGCAGTGCCCTATCTTCGACGATTCTAACACGACCGATAGAAAAAGTCGTGCAAAAAATAACGAGTCGTCTACCTTGAATAAATAAATGAATATCTACGTTCTTGCTAATTTTCATAACGAGCACGACAAAATTATTGGAAACTTGATCGTTTCAGAATAACAATTTTCTTTCATGTGTTATGTCCTATAAAACGGAAGAATATATGTATTAAAGTACTTAAAGAATGTACATATGTTATTAGATATAGTAAATTGATGAAAGATGTAATTTAGTTTAAAAGTTCCAATATTCTTTAACATATCATGACCCGTAATAGTTAACCTTGCAAATCGCTTTATCTGTAATAAATGACATTAATAACTATAAATCAAATTTTTGTATTTTAAAATTGTGTTCTAAAATTATTTTCGCCAAGTACTCGATCTCTTAGTACAACGAATGTCAGGATTATACCACATATCCTTAGAAAGGTATTAGCCATTAAAAGCAGTTTATGTCATAGATTAAATTTTCTAACGTCACTCTAATAAACACGATAATTCACTTTAATCATTGTGAAATGATTATTCGACAAAAAATTGTTTGCAATTAAAAACCTTCTAAAAAGGTTATAACGCCTTCGTATTGTTTGCGATATCGATCTGTAATTCTATGATAAATACATAATGTAATATGTTGTGCACAATATATCATTTATATCAATAATTATATAGCAAGATGTACATATGTAATTTATGTCTGTAGCAGAATAGATTAGTAATTAAATATTTTGTAAGCTTGGAACATTTCTAAAATGTTTATAACCTGTTGCATATTTAGACTAGTACTCATATTGATACATATAGGAACTAGTAACCAGGGACGAACTAGGACTTAAATTTTTAGCGGGAGATTACGAACATGACCCTCTATCTTTAGTTCATCTCTTAACCCTTCGATGGCCAATTCACCCCTGATAGTATCCATATATATACAATATCCAAAATAAAATATGAAACAAAATGTATTAACATTTATTTAATTTAGCAAAACGTAATATTTTCAAAAAATATATTAATCATCGTTTTTCCAAATATTACTAATCAACTATTGCAAAATAAAAGATGAAAATGGATATCTGTAACAATTTTATTTATGATATTCTTTGATATTTTGTGTTTGAATTTGAACATATTTTGAAATTTTGCAGCTTCAAAAGTGTTGATCACAGAATTCTTGAAACGTTCAAAAGGTGGCGTATTTGTCCAGTCAAAGATGTAGTATCGATTATTGGTAATTATAGGGCAGTGAATTTTATCAACTAAGCTAAACTAAATTTCAGTATTATTTTAAATTAAATTTTTATTTATTTTATTTAAATCTAATACTATATACCAATTCCAAATCTAAACTTCTAACTACAAAAGCTTTGTATCTCAAAAAATATTATTATAATTAATTAAATTGTAATGTAAATTAAATAAATATTATTATTATTAATTTACATTGCATCCAAATTATATGAAAATAATGTGATATAATAAGTGATTGCGCAACTCATAATATTGATCCCAGTAATTATTTTTAACCCTATATTTTTAAATTTTTGGAGTCAATAACATATTTCTGATTTCTTTCTTAAGCTCCGTATATTTTATGCAATACTTCTAATATTACTGTTCTAAGTACAGTGTATGTTACAGCGTTAGTTCCAAGAATAAAAAAGATCATTAGTAAACAAAAATAATATTAAGTTAAAATGTAACCAAAATGTGATATTGATTATACATTTCATCCACAGTCATTGTACTCACACATTGTTTTTTTCAATAACTGAAAAATTAAATGTTGATACTGTAAACACATTAGGAGATCTAGAACAGACACATTCAAACATATTTAACACTATAGAAAATGCAATGTTTAATTCAACATTCAAAATTTTACTCTGTATTTTTTAATAACAAATCGAAGGTATCAATTATACTTGATAATTTATAAAAATACTTTACTATGTTCTTACTAAAAAATCATCAGTTATAACTCTAAGAAAGGATTCACATTTTCGCGCGCAATATTGATAAGGTCGGCCAAGTGGCGAACCTAACCTAGTCAACCCCCACTTTTTGTTACTTATATCAATCGATACTTCTTTATCGACTGTGCAGTCAGTAAGTCTCCTCAGCGGTCTCGAGCACTGCAGTTGTCGTGACACATTGTGTCGTATTGTGTCGCAATAATATCTTCAAGCTGCTCCTAAAGAAACGAGAGTGAAACAAGCGGTTCGCCAGCACGAGATACGTTCGAACAAAACTAATTCGTGGACTTCTCTCGTACGTATACCATGTAAAACCATGATGAGCCGCGTGTGCTGTTAACTGGTGGATGATTTCGACCGAGAAAGTCTTACTTTCAGTAGCCTTCCGGTTTCTCTTTTCTCCGCGGTATTCTTACCTTTATTTTCCTCATAAATTCAGTGCAGATATGCGTTAAGTGTCGACACGAGTCTTCATTTTCGGAAGTACCCTCTTTCATTTCGGTGATGGATTAAGGACAACGTGGTTCAATCATCAATCTCAGGTGAGTCCACTTGTTCTGTATCGATAGAGCGTCTTTTTATAGGAACATGATATCGAGTATGGTTCATTGTATTTAATCTGTCACTTAATATTTTATAATGAATTATTTATTTACTTATTAGTTGCTTTAACCCAGGTATGATTTATGTTTATATGGCAAATGCAGTATGCTTACACATAATTTGAATAGAGCAAAATTTCGAACTTATAATTTACATATAATAATATATCCATTTATTAACATTGTATCCCGATTACTTAGTTTATAATACATACAATTGGAAAAATAAAACCATTGGGATGGATAACTGATGTAAGAGAACTAACCATTATGAGAAAAAGAAAGCAAAGCAAAAGGTTGAATGGTGAAGTACTTAATATTCGATAAATTTAAGTATACGAATTATTAAAATGTAGTTGAATATATGTTTCTTTAAAATTGCGGGGAATAAGCGTTTCTCATCAATTAAAATGCTGAATGGAAAAATACACGAAATTGGAAAGTATTAAGTACAAGAATTAATAAAAAGAAGATAAATATGAATTATATAGAATTAAAATAACTAAAAGAATTAGATAATAAAAAATTAATAAACAAAAATGATAAAATTAAAAAATTTCATTAATTGAAAAATTGTGATTAAAAATTTCTGTTCAATTTAATACTCGGTTAAATTAATGAATAAGTAAGTATGAATGAACAAGGAAATAAAAATATTATTAAATTCTTAATAAATATTGGTACAGCGAATCCAAAGTTGATCCAAGTTAAGTTTATAAACAAGGAGTCGACAATGTAAATAAATATATGTTTTCTCGTCTGAATCAATCAGGTAATATATGGATAACTAGAAAATCATAATATCTGATTAACAAAATTTTTAACATATTGTAAAATAGTTAACAAAATTCATGTGGGTGAACATTTTTCTGTTGGTAACGTGGTTGTGAAATTTCAAGGATATTTTAATTTCTCTTTTAGATTTAACGTTCTCTAGACAACGAATTTATCGAGCAGGATATTGTTCGCGATATAAAGATATGTACATACGAGTATATCCAATAACTTTTTATGGAACAAAGTTTAAACACATATCATATATAACTTCTTAACATGAGAAGGTTTTCTGCTTATCTTATCACGTGCAAACAATAATTAATACATTTATGTGTTTCTAGTGTATAAACAAGAAAGAAAAGTATTAATGATTAATAAATATGTTCAGTAAACACTTAAAGCATAATCTCTCTAAAAGCAAATTTAAGTCAACATTATTTTTGTTAGGAATTATATGTAACTACTTTAATAATGAAAATTTTAACATTCAACTGTAATAATTCAATAGTATTAGTAAATATATAATAACAATTCAAAAATAAATATACTATTGAACGTAAATATCAAATATACATATATAATAATGGCAAAAACATAAAACATGGCTTTACTCTTCGATTAAAAAATAATTCAAATTTTAATATAGAAATATTTAATTCTAACGACGAACGAATTCTATAGTCTATAAAATATGGAAATCAACGATAAATTGCCATATTCGCGAAGCAAGAATATATTTGAAAACACAGTTTCATTATCCGATTAAAAAATATACGAAACGCTGCGCCGCACTTATTTGCTTCCCGTTAAACTTTTAATCATCGAGAGCACGATAATACATGCCGAGAGTCATTCATTAATAAAAATATTTGTGATTTCTAACGAGAGTCTGTAAACTATCCGCGAGATGCCCCACGGACGACCTTCCATTTATCATCATCATTAAGTTGGTACACATGCAACTTCTCAAATTTTTATGCAATCTTCTTAATACGTATTTAAGTGAATGTGATTTGTATTTCATGCGTTGCATCATTGGAAATTCGGTTGATAACAAAGTATACTACATTACTGCATCTAAATTCGGAGGTTAACCATTCATAAAGGCGCGCACACATTGTAATATTCGCGCATCGCCACTATCCATCGACTGGCACGTAGCAATTTTGAACATGAAACAGCACGGTAATAACAGCGAAAAGAGTATTATTTTCATAGGGGAAACAAAGGTAAAAATTACTGCATTACAGAGATCGCTTAACCCGTTTAAATATACGTAGCTTCCACTTGTATAACAACTTTCGAAGATCATAAAGGAACGAACTGTTCCTCACTTTAAGTGAGTCATCCCTCGACTGCAACTGACGGATTATATAATGAAGAAGTGTATAGCAACATGTGCGACAACCACGTAACTGTACGGAGTAGTAACTGTGACATAATCGACGACAGAATGATTCTACGTGAAAAAACAGCTGGAAAATATAGAATAAAATTTATTCATATGGCGCTTCGTTTTCGAGAAAATCGAGTTTGAAAGGTTGCCAAGTATCGTTAATTTAGATATTAATGTATTATTAAATGCTTCTTTTTTCCTATGAAAGTAGAATATGAGGTTTGTTCGGCTAAACTTAACTCGGTTGAAACAGTGCACCGCCTCAGATTGAGAGAGCAATGATCGCTTTCGCGCTTTTTTCCTGCTACGCGTCCCGGCTAGAAAGGCACTCGCTGCCTCTTTCAGACACGTCACGTATCCTCTCGCCTGTACTTAGTGCTCGCGTATTAGGTAAATTTGTGTGGAAATATATTAACATCGAATAAGAAAAAATACCAACAAAACTAACATTATTACATTTATATTTATCATTTAAACGAACAATTTCTCTTATCTTTTACGTGACCTCATTGAATAACATGTAACTTCGGAAAATGACATACGTCATACAGAGACTTGAAATAAGTATGTACTTCCATAATCGGCGCAATGAATCAGTGGAGTGAATCACCAATCGTTACTCAGAAATGAAACCAGAAAGAAGAATATGTAATTGTTCGAATTAAATAACCTCGCATCAATAGCTTTCGTATTAAATTAAAGTAACCATTCGCTGCTACAATATAAATATAACGATTTTAACACTTAGCAAATCCGGTCAAATAAGCGATATCAAAATTTAATTTAAAATTGTACATTCATTGTTATTTCTTTTATTCGTCTAACTATATGTAAATTCTTATATTAACAAAAATTGAGAAATTAATCAGTCATATAATACAAGAATTTACATGAAGTTAAATGAACAAAGGAACTAACAACGAATATACAACTTTAAGCGAAATTTTGAAATCGGTCATTTGACCAGATAAGGTTAGTATTAAAGCAAACGAGTTTTTATGTCTTTACGATTTTGCAACAGCTCCGCATTAAAATATTAAATTGGTGTAATACACGTAATGTACATATTAATATACGGTATCTGCAAGAGTAAATTACGAGTTTGTATATATTACCTTAAATTGCAGTTAACACTCTCGGATCTGATCGCATTTTTTTTTTTTTTGCATATAGTTCACAAGATAATCATTTAACCAATTAGCTGTTGCCGATGTGTTGGAAATAGTTCTCTTTTTTTATTTAATTTATACTTTACAGTTTGTCCAGCTGTACATTTGATAAATTTTTCGAACTCTTGGAAATGTGTGTACCTAAAATGTGTCGCAAAAAGTAAGCGATAACGAGTATACTCGTAAAAGACAATTAACTAGTTAACATATTGACACCATATTGTAATTTTATTTTAGTGAGTTTTTTCCATCTAGCCTTTTACCTAATTAATGCACTGCGTGTACGAAATCTCCATTAACAATATACATACATATAATAATATTTAGTAATAACAATCTTTTTCGATATAACTTCAGATCCATTAATTACGACAAAATCAAATATATCAATATAGATCGTAAATGTGTTCGCAGGAAGCAGTAAATCGCAAGAACTGCTAAGATGCCGATAGAATTCTTGGACCGGCTTCCAATGCCAAATCTCCGGCTGTATACGGCAATAAGCTTCGGCGTGTTATCCTGTTCGATATACTATGCCGTTCAAATCATCAAAGACCCGGCATGGAAGATCACTCACACTTACGTGGACTCTGAAAATGACTCGGCCAACAACATCGACTTCGATCCGAGGGATTCCGCGATGTATTTGAAGGAGTTGCTCGAGTGCATGCTCGACGAGCCTATCTGCATCTGGGTAAGTGGTACACGACGATTCATTCGCACGAATTTGGGGTTAGGTTGGGGTTAGGTTGGGGTTCCTGGGAGAAGTGGACTTCATTATTATCATAGTATTAGTATTAGAACTACCAGTCAAAATGGCTGGTCTTAGGCTTTCTGTTTTTGCAGATAGTAAAACCGTGATTTTATCCCTTATTTTCACGTTATCCGAATAAAAATTTTCCCAGACTCCGATACGAACTACCTTTTGTAATTATCAAGACATTTACCAAAATTAAGTAACAAAAGATGAAAAAAATATGTATGTACTTGTCATATATGTATATTTCCCCTGTGATCTTAACCTATGAACTGGTATGTATTTAGATATTTGCGTTTCAACGTGTTAAAAAAATAACTATTTACTATAAAATAACATCCAGTCGTGTTCATCTATGTATTTATTTGCCTGTATTTGGTAACATAGAACTCGCAAAGTCACGACGAGGTAAAATAATTTTCTACGTTCGGACGGTGTAATATTCGCGTATTTACGTGCAAAACTTTCACGCTATCATAATTAGAACATGAACGTGAGAAATGAAAGATAAGGCTCTTATCCGGAAGTATTCTTGAGTTCAGGTTACGCTTTACCAATGTTCTTATTACGTACAAGAGCTTAAATTGCGTCTTAGAAAATAATCAAGACAAATATTGACATAAAAATTCAACAAGCGATACAAAATTATTTTTACTACATCTGAAAAAGTTTAATTCTACCATTAAACATGTTCTAAGAAATTAACGACAGATTTAAGATAACATCAAACACTTCTGTATAATTTTTGCATAGTGTATGAAGAGTATTTAAAAAAAAAGGGAACAAAAAAGAATAGTTTCTTGCCTATATATTAATTGTATTCATTTAATATACGGAATGACTCAGCCTCTTCCGGCCAAACGTTGTCGGTACATTTTATAACGTACGTTCATAAGTCAAGATAAGAAAAAGATGTTATATAAATGTATGTCATTGGAAATGTTGTTAAATACATAAATACGTGTAACATACAAAAATATGTTAAATACGTAACAAAGAAAGAAAAGATACACAAAATGACCGGTACCATAAGAAATAAATAGAATGGATAGGTTAGGAATATTTATCTCTGGCAATAATCAAAAGATGTCACGGTATTATTTCTACAATTCTAAGTAGAATTCCGTTTCTAAATTCCGTTTTACCATTCCTATCGATGGAAGTTTAACAAGGGATAAAAAAATTGATTCTACGTTCCTTTCTAGACTGTACTGATAACTATATCGCCGGGAAAAATTGAGCCACCCTTATTTCAGATGTTCTCCTTCTACAAATACCGAGAACATACCGGAATTTTTTCCAAAATTAATATTCACTTTTATTTAGATAGACACATAATTACGTTGAATTTATCTACTTCAATTAATATCATTCGAATCACTGACTTAATACATAGAATATTAAGGTTATAAAGCTGTAGTATGTTAAAAACATTAAGTTATCCCAAAAAATTCTTTCGTTTTTATGAGGAAATAATAGACATTTTTCGTTTTATATTTTCTTCTATTACTACAAAATGAGTCATACATAACTCAGTAAAATAATACAAAAGGAAAAATGTGCGTCAATTATTTACTTGTAAAACGAGAAAAACCTTTCCGACAGTCCAATACACTTAAAGAAGAAGAAACGAAAGAGAGATGTTTTTTTACTTTATATAGCCATTTTTAATCATTTTATTTCTACGAAAGTAATGAAGCAGTGCGTCCATTTTAGAAGCCAATAACATCCGGTGAATATGTATCGCGCGCATTGAACGAAATGTAGCAGAACACGTGGCCAATGAGTACGTGTCCCCTCAGGGACAATTTATATCGACTATTCCATAACTAGCGAACTTTCTCCTTTCTCCTGGTGTTACTGCCATGATAAATGCGCCGTTTCTGAGTAAGTAAACGATCTGTCTCACCACAGACATACAACTAGTCCCGTTTTCAGTTTCTCGAAACGTATCCTTTCTCGCTCTCTATCACACAGTGTCAGGTTACGAAAGCACTCTATAGCACGTATACGCCACTATATAAGTTTTCTAGCGAAAAATAAAGTAAAACAGACGATAATCGTGGAATTATTATATAGATTTATAATAAATTTATAATTAACATACAGATTATAACTTGATTGATTTACTTATTTCAGTGATAAAATGTATACCTCCGGAAAAATTCGCCTAACACGACATAAATTGAGTTTGTCAATCTGAAGATGCAAGGAGAACCAATAACCCTTGAACACTCAACAAGCAATATCGACTTCTAATAATATATCTTGACACAGTTTTTTTAATGATACTTAAGGCACGGAGAAAAGTTCGGAGATGCACTTCAAATTCTAAAAAGTAACAATAAAAGAAGTTTAAAGAGTTCTAAATTCTTTATCGTGCTCTGTATAACCATATTCTTTTGACAAATTTTTCGTTTATTTTTTAACGAGACAGATAATTAATGTTTCCGATAAAAAGTTCGACTAAAGTGTTTCCAATAATTCTGATAACCGATACTGTAATATTATTTTCTTCCAAAATTAGAAAAAAATTTGTAAAAGAAAAATAGAAAGTACGATCACGTCTACTGTGTAACGTCAAGAAATTTAATGTTTCTGATGTAGGGTTCCGACCTACAAAGGAACGTGAAATTTTTTAGGTGTCCTTAACCTTTCAAATACTTTATTAAACACGCGTTTCTCGTTCTGCGACGTGGGTAAAAGTTACAAGCGTACGCAATCATTCTGTCATCTATGACTTCATGTATTTAACATATATAGATATATAACTATGCTTAGATATTTTCGCAAATGAAGTCGCCGCCATCGTTTTAAGCGCGTAGTAGCAAATGCGAAAAATAATTCCGTGTAATTCCATCTGTTTTTATGTTATTATACTAGAAACCGTGTGCTTTGAGAAAAACACGTTTTATTTTTTAAATATGGCTTACATCAACTCTGTAAGTGAGTAAGCTGGAACCGTTTGCATCTGTATATAATTTTTTAACTGTTTCAAGCTTCCAAAAACAAAATAATTCTTTTTGTAATACGTACGAATAGCTGTTCTTTTACAAATTTTTGAACGAATGTAAAATTATGATAGATGTACTTAACGATTTCAAATATTCGTCGTGTCTTAAGAGCAGTAAATCGCAATTTACCTCACGTTTATAAATCATCTTATGTATATTCCAATAGTTTTTTCCCCCGGAAATATTGTAAATCAATGCAAAATGTACAGTTAATGTTAGTTCCTAAAGACTTAAGGAAGCCAATAATTAGGAAAAAAGCGCGTCCACACGATGACTGGTCATAAATGATATTGAGATCTACAAGGATAATCAATGTCAGGATTAAGAAATTATTGTTCACTCTTTTTTTTTTTCGTTCTTCTATTATTTTTTCTTTGACGTTGATATATGAGAAACGCGAAAGAAAATGCACCCGCAGATAGAAAAATGTCAGCATAATAATTGTAGTTTATGCAACACGGACAAAACTGGACGCAATCAATATTACCGTACAGTAAAGTGCGATATAATAGAGTGGAGTAGATATATAAGTAGCGAAATAGGTATACCATAAGAGGTGTAAAACCGAAAGTTCGTCCAAAGCCGAAAGACACGGACTAAGCAATGATAAATAAATAAATAATATTAACGTACAGTACATATGGCATACGCGTGGCCTTTACATGTATAGAATAATCAATTTCGGCTTATAAATTAGTATGTAAATCTAACTCGGACGGATGCTTACCAAATATAATTGTGATAAGTTAAAAACGAATGAAGAATACGAAGCGTTGAAATTTTATAGCGAATCGGATATATTTCTATTATTAGATCGGTACATATGAAATGTTGTTTCTTTAAAGTTTGAATCTGCCAGGCCATTCATTACCAATCACTAAACTGCTAACCCTGTTACGGTTATACTTCAATGTTGTTTCCACTATAGAGACCAAAAACGATTTTTAATGTTTCAAAACAATGTACAACTAATAATACAACTAATTCTCGATATTAAAAGTATAATAGACTTCCCTACAATGTCAAATCTATGTGAAATCATTCTACGATCTTAATTCTCTATAAAGTAATCGTTTCAGGCTAATAAATTGTTCCACGTTCTCGAATCAAATTTAAAGATTGAAATAACCGATGTTTCGGTTGAAACTAAAATTATCTGTCCTTTCGAGTCTGTTTGGCAGACAGCAACGTTGTTGTTATACCACTTGTACCAGACGTTGCTTCTTAGTTCCTATCTTCTTTGCCAAAGGGAAAGAATTCTCCTGATACCATCAAGACCATCGATAAATAAACAAAGTGGAAAAAAAAGAGTGTTTAAATTTGCGAGTGTAAAAAATTTCAGTAAATATTTACGCTAGAGTCGACATCATTGATTAGTAGGATCTGAAAAGATGTCAAGGTCAATGTCCCGCACGATTTCATGTACATATGTATGTATACAAGTGACGTTCAGCTTTGGTTTCAAAGATCTACGTGAGAGTATATTTAATGTTACCTTCATTGTACATTTTTAAGATCTAGGTCAGATCGAGATACATTAGATTTTGTTAAGGTACCTCCTAGAGCCGGAGAAAGAGATTTTTTAAGCAGTAGAAAAGCCAAAGAACTCAGTAATTTTTCCAAAGATATTTATTCCGTATTTGCTTCAAGTTTCATTATACGGCTTTCTCTAACGTTCTCAATTTTTGTTCTTTTTCTTCAGTTTTAAGAATCTTTCCCTGTGCTTTTTTGTAACCTTGGGAATTACACATGTGACAGTCACATGTGACCCAACTGCAAATGAATCTCTTTCTAATTTGCCTTGCCTGGTAAAGACACAGAAATGTTTCATAGCATTAAAAATTATCCACTCTTCTTGATTATTTTCCTGTCATATACACAGTTTTTTTTTTTTTTTAGTTATTTATTTAATTTGTACTTTGCAATTTGTCCAGCTGGGCGTTCGGTAAATTTTGTCTAACTTTATTGTTAAATAACATGTGGATAGCTACCCTCACCGGAATACTATCTTCGAGTTTGTCTATTTTATTTCTTTAGCGAAGTCAGAGGGGCGTTTTCTTTTTAGTATTTTCTATACACAGTGACTATAAAGAGTATTTGCACGATTCCAGTCAAATTTATAAGTACTTACACGTTGAACTTAATCCCATTACTAATTATTAGACCGCGGATCTTTATTCAGATTCCTATTTTTGAAACTATAATTGAAAAGCTGCTTCCTCCAACATTGCTTTATCTATCATGTTTTACAGAAAGTACTATAATCTGGATATTGATATATTTCTTTTATACTATGCTTGTTACAGCGCAACAATAAGATTCTAAAGTCATCAAGTCTTTGGAAATAGTTCAAACGATATGGACATTTTTTTAATTAGCGTATTTTTTTCCTTTTCTTAAAGCTAATCACTTTTATCACACATTTATCATTACATTCACAAACTGTTAATCGGACACTCGAGCGTCTCACGTGGCCACCTCAAGGACTGTCGGCTACCTTGATGTGACCGATACGTAGAAGTTGGAGTTTCTCCTTCTTTGTAACGTGTAACTCGCCAATTACTTTCTCCACCTCGAATAAATGCTAAATCAGGGAATTCCAGTGTCCACACTTAGTGACTTTCCTAACTGAAAACATCGTTTCTAATAATATCAATCCGCAGTAGAGGACTTCCTCGAGTAAATACGCATTTCTCTACAAATCTACGCCCCTGTGGTATCTTGTTTCTCTTTCCCAACTGTCTGTCGCATTATATCGCACTCTGAGACAGTAGTAAAAGCGTTGAACTAATTCTCACTTCTAGGAAAACTCTACATCTCCTTTATCGTTTAGCTTTACCAATTAAGTATTGTCTAATAGTAAATCAATTTGAAGGGTTCCTCAGCCTCGTAGCCTTTTTAGCAATATGCTTTGCACAAACGATGCAGCGGGATATGGACAGGTGAATTTTCGTAATTATAAAAATACCCATAGCCCGATGGCTTCTCTGGATTTAATTTACACTGTACTTACACTTGTACCTATTCTTCTATTTATACTTACTTAAATATATTTTTATTACACATTCATCCACGCGTCCCTCTATCAGATAATCTCGACAAAATGTTCGCACTGCAACGATACGCGTTTTGTATAATTTAATTGAATTAATAACAGTCCGCAGTTTGCTAATTACGATATTCTAATATTTTCATTTATATACAGGGTGGTTGGTAATTGACGGTGCAAGCGGAAAGGGGTTGATTCTACGCGAAAAAAGAGGTCGAAAATATAGAATAAACATTTTTTTTAATTTTTCCATCGAGACAACGATCTACAGTGAGATCCGTTATAACGAGACGCGATAAAGTGCGCGCGTACCGAACGAAAATTCAAAGTCGATTTTCTCGAAAACAAAGCCTCGAAGGAAAAATTTGTATTCTATGTTTTCGACTTCTTTTTTCGCGTAGAATCACCCCCCTTTCCGTTTGTACCACCAGTTACCAACCACCCTGTATATAATATTTATTTTATATAATTATTTATATATATATATAATATAATTTAATTGATAATTTTAATATCGATGATATACCTGTTTCTATCGTGGTAATCTTTAGGCTTAAAATATTCTTTGTTGTTATTTTCTATAGACCTTAATCAACATGGCGTACTGCGTGCTAATTCTGCTGGGTAAAACAATTCAAAAGCTCGTATTCGCCGAGCTGCGAGTCTCCGAAAGGCAACACCTAAAGGACAAGTTTTGGAACTTCGTGTTCTACAAATTTATCTTCGTATTCGGCGTGCTGAATGTGCAGTACATGGACGAGGTGCTACTGTGGTGGGCTTGGTTCACCGCGCTTGGCTTCCTAAGTCTCCTCAGTCAACTATGCAAGGATCGATTCGAATACGTAAGTGACATACTGTCTGCTGACAACTGCTGAGCTGACCCTGTCCGTGATCCAAATTTCATTAAACACTTCCCAGGATGCTCTAAATTTTTCTTAAGGCAGCAAGTATTTTTAATTCCTCTAAATCAATCCTTAGGTATATTGTTATTGGGAAAAGATATTGATAGAATACTTGTTTTCAGTATACTTCTATTTAAAGTTCGAAGCTAAAGCTTAGAGCATATTAGAATTTTAAAAGAAATTAAAATATATAAATATTTCATTTATGATATTACCATTACTTATATCATTAGCATTGAAACTGTAATCAATTACGTTAAGATATGACGCTTATGATATTCTTATTTCGCAGGAAAATATACAAGAAAATTTACTTCGTCTAAAAAGTACTCCAAACTTTCGAAAACAACTTATAACATAGGAAAAAAGATCGCAATGTCATGAAATAGATAATTCTGAGACTTGGCATTACCATCGAATTTCAACTTCTTAAATTTTGTTCGTTCGAAAGACTTCGATAAAGCTATATCGTACAGTACATATCGTAGTAAACTCGAAGAAATTGCTGAATATCTTAGTACATTTTAAACAGCAACGTGAATTCGGAACGCACGCGTCGTTAAAGTTGGCACGTGCCCCAAAACGACATCTTGCGAGATTTCTCGACAGATCTGTATTGTGTTGTCTCTCTGGTAGGCGCATATGCTACGTCGTATCTTTCTGTCTATATCTTTCGCGTGTATTTCCGCGATGAATCAATCTCACTTGTTTATTTGGTTTAACTAGTGACGTGAGAAGTTACACGTTCGACGAGTCAAACAAATGGCCAGCAATGATCTTGAAATTACAGTGGCGCTTATCTGGCCAGCTATCGAAAGGAATATAAAGGAATAGGTGTATATATATACAGAGTGGTTGGTAACTGGTGGTACAAGTGGAAAGGGGATGATTCTACGCGGAAAAAGAAGTCGGAAATATAGAATAACAATTTTTCGTTCGAGGCTTTGTTTTCGAGAAAATCGACTTTGAGTTTTCGCTCGGTACGCGTGCACTTTATCGCGTCTCGTTATAACGGATCTCACTGTAGATCGTTGTCTCGATAGAAAAATTAAAAAGAAAAATTTTTATTCTATATTTTCGACCTCTTTTTTCGCGTAGAATCTCCCCCTTTTCGCTTGTATCACCAATTACCAACCACCCTGTATATATATGTACTTCTACAAAAATCCTCAGTATCTTTCTTCCACGTTGAACGCACATGTAATAAAGATACTCTATACGTTTATATACATACGTATATATGTATGTATGTATGTATTCTATTTTCTGCTGAGGATGGGTTGCTATGTGCCCTTGGCATCACACGCAGTATCCCTTCAAGAAGTCGCTTCAGAGGTCATTGGCCCTTATATTACCCAACGAACTTTCCAGTCTTTTATTTCGTTCCATTTCCTGGGTACCCTGAGGCGTCCTTTTATACAGGGTATATATTAGTACAACCGGCCAGGGAATGATTCTACATTAAAAAGTAAGTTGAAAAGAAAGGATAAGATTTTTTCGTTTAAGACTCAGTTTCTGAGCACATCAAGTACAAAAATCTTTTCGGTACACATATACTCGATCAAGTCTCAATTCATGGTGAATTTCAGTGACCGATTGTACTGCCATTTACCAGACACCCTATATAAGCATATGTGTGTATATATATATATATATATATTCTGTTTATTTTTCGACTTTACAGTCCTGGAAGGACTTGGCTTACGTATTTCCAACTCTCACCAATTCCCATACTTTTTTTTAGAGCACAGATCGCATTATGCATGAATACTGCATTATTTATTGTCGTGTAAAAAAATCTACCCAGAAGAAAGTTGCACTGTTCGAACGAGCACGTGGAATATTGGAAATAATTTTGTTTCAGTGATCTTCTTTTTTTTTTTGCGAAATCTCAAGGTTATTAGTATTTTTTTTTTTTTTTGTTATTGAAAATCCTTCATTTATTTTTGGATATTTTCGTAGAGCGTGAAAAATCAAATTCGCTGACCTATAGAACTATGGCATTTCGATCGTTTAGTTTTGAGATATTAGCGTCTGTATGTTGAAATCTTGCGTGATATCTCGATGCACACGGTATCTCAAATTACGCAGTATAACGATTCTTCACGTTCGTATGTAAACATAAATATCATCTCCAATGACGAGCGATAAGGCAGTAGATGATCGCTTTAGTTCTATTGGGACTGTTGAATTTAACGGAATGCGTTACATACTATAGGAAGAAGTAGATATTGTACTGATATATGGTGAAAGGCATCAATCTTTACAAGAAAAGGCTTTACCAAAGAAACATCAAGCCAAACTAATATTTATGCCTACATATGAACGTGAAAAATCACGGTATCGCGTAACCCGAGATACCACATGAAATTTGTATACATTTAGACGGAAATATTTTAAAACTAAACGATAGAAATGGTATGGTTCTATTGCTGGTTGAATTTATTTTTTCACGTTCTACAAGAACATCTAAAAATAAATATAGGATTATCAACAAATAAATACTAGTGATCTTGAGACCTCATAAAAAAAAAGGATCATTAGGAAAAGCTATTTTCAATATTATACGTGCTCCTTGAAACGGTGCAACTTTTTCCTGAAAAGTTTTTCATGCAACAACAAATAACGCAGATATTTAAATGACCCCATTTAACTGGTCCACACTGTATATATGGTCGGCCATTTATATTTTACAGTTTGTTTACTTCAGGAAAATGACAAGGTTGTAAATGTTAAAAAACTACAGTAAATGAATATAATGTATGTTATCGGTATTTAAAAATCATTCTTCGTATTTTTGCCAAAATTCTGAAAATTTGTTCGGTAATTGTACTGAAAGATTTAAAAAAAACAGATATCTTGGCGTGCAGAGTGGTCTGAATCTTTAGTATAAAGACAAAGAATCTTGGCTCCGTTATGCAATGAATTCGCGTGAATCCCGTTAGTATAATCGAATAGAGGTAACCAGGTTATACCTCTCCACAGCTAGACGACATTCAATTTTCCTTGATCTGTCTCATGCGTGCCATTTTTTAATTCTTTAAAGCATATTACTCCAATATTTTCTTAGTTAAACTTTGATACGTAAATAAAGCTATTTCTCAGATTTATTAATGATATATTTAACTAATTAATAATTATAGTTAAAAATAAGTATAATTCAGTAAGTTAAAGTTAAGTCAATAAATTAGTATTCGACTGAAGATATTAGATATTTTTTATAATAATTTTGTTATAATTATCATTAGATTGTAATGTATAATATTTCTGTTTGCATTTAATCACATAATTGAGCAAAAAGTACATGTTCCACAACATTTTTTCAATGTACACGTTAATTTCCACAAATCTCTTAATTTAAATAATATACGTCTGAAGTTAGATACAGTAGAGTTAGACGTATTCCAGTATATGGATTACATGGATTGTTCTATTTGAATCTATATAATCTTTAACTATAGAATAGTACTGCTTTAATCAAATTCTCTAGTTAAGTTACATAATATTCCGCGTAAATATTGTCATTATATAAACGGTAAAATTTCATATTAGTCAAATATTTACATAAAAATAAGAATCATTCTAATGAATAATAAAAAAAATATTTGCTTTTTTTAAACAAACCATTTTTACAAATTACTGTCCATGACCTAATTTAATTGATAAGCATTATAAAAATAAGAATTAATATTAGTAATAATCTATTTTAATATAAGTTATAAATTTAATGTTAATTATTATTAAAAAATTTATTATTTTACATACATAGATAATGAAAAACATTACAGAACTTTTAATTATTATTTTCTAGTTATCGTTTTCGCCTACAACACCAGGTTGGAGTCATGCGAAACTTCTTGGACTTCTCGCGACTATTCTTGCATTATCCTCCTTCATGTTACTCCTATGCACAGCTGCAGCGTTCTTCTTCGTTTCATTCAATACCTTTGTCTTCACTGCAGCTGAGGTAATGTAAACCCTTGTGTGAAAGTAAACAAATTTTCATTTATCACAGTACTCGTGACAACTTCGAATACTTCAATTTTTTTTAGTAACTTTCATTCTTTTCCACTAACAGAAGTTATTATAGCCATGTAATTCTAATAATGTATTTGCTTGTTAACAGTGCATCTTACTAGGTGTCAGAACAATTCATGTAATGGTGCGATACATAATTCATCTGTATGATACTCGAGGGGCTGGAACCTCTTCGCAACGTTCTTGGGACAAAAGAGGTCCTCTAACTTACTACACAGATCTAACAGCAGAATTAATAGTGCTAGCTGTAGATTTTCTTCACCATGTCCACATGCTACTTTGGAGTAACATATTCCTAAGCATGGCATCCCTTGTAATCTGTATGCAACTTAGGTATCTTTTCTATGAGATACAACGCAAGATCACAAAGCACAGGAACTATCTTGCTGTATTAAATCATATGGAACAAAAGTAAGTACATACTTTTTATAGTTGTAATCAGTAGACTATGGATTTTTATACAAAATTTTATACAAATTTATATATTTTTATTTCTAGCTATCCAATGGCAAGTCAGGAAGAGTTAGCAGAGAACTCAGACAACTGCGCCATTTGCTGGGAGAAAATGGAAACAGCTAGAAAGCTACCTTGTGCTCATCTTTTCCACAATTCCTGTTTACAGTCTTGGTTGGAACAGGATACTTCCTGCCCAACTTGTAGGCTTGCCTTAAACATGCAACCTAGCCACCTTGTAAACACACAAGAATTATCAACTGAACTACAAACGCCAGCTAGACGAAATGAGAATCATTTCTTTCATTTCGATGGCTCAAGATATGTGTCCTGGTTACCAAGCTTCTCCGTTGAAGTTTCCCACAATAGACTACGTGGAAATATTTCTACTATTACACATAACAACTCGCAAATGGATACTATGATTAGACAGGTGCGTAATTAATCGTACATTTTTAATTATTGAAAACTAATACATTATAATTTTGGGAGAACTTCAATGGTTCAGTAGTAATTATTTTATTAGAACCTAATGACAAATACATAGTAGAAAAAATACTGGAATTTCACTCACTGAACTCTGAATGGTACTCTATTACTGTTAACTGGTTCAAACTGGGTTCATTCTGTGTTCATTTACATACAAGGACTGCTACATATTGAACTTATTTAACATCACATTATAATTTTAAATATAGTTTACTTTCATTTTATTCACACATTTTTATTAATCAAATGGAAAAAGAGATGTTTACTTGATTTCTGTGTCATTCATTCTAATATTAATTTTGTATTATTTATTAAAACAGGTGCAGCAACTGTTTCCACAATTCCCCCGCAATCTAATCGTAGAAGACCTCAGAGGGACGAGATCAATCGAATGGACCGTTGCAAATATTCTGGATGGAGTCTTGATGTCTCCTCATCATATAATCGAAGAACCGCAATTGGAATCCGTCCTTCAAATCCATACCAGTACCACAGAAACTAGTGTTTCTTTGAATACCCCTTCGATGCCGCTACCTTCAGATCCAAGATTTGATATTCCTCTTGCTGATAGGTACTTTCTTCATTTTCATCATTTATTTCAGACATATATTTTAACCTTTTGCGTTCGAGGATTTTTTTCGTCAGGCGTAGCAGCAAATCCAGATGATTTAGCGTATATATGACGCGTGTCTTACAAATAGCATAAAATGATTTTATATACAAATTAACTCACAAAAACATTATATTCTAATAATTTATCTATATTTACATCTTTGAAAATATGATTTTATAATATTAATTTTTCTATTTTTTTGTATGATAATTTATAAAGCATTTACTAAGATGCATCCTTGAATATAATTGGTCTCATTTTTCAACAGTTCAAAATTAAGTTCATCTTCATTTGAGCTAATTTCACTTCCGAAAACCGTTTTTTTAGGGTTTCTAAGCTATAATACTTTTGCCATGATCGTCGAATCCGAACTAACATCGGAGACGTTGTCAGAATCATAGTTTCGTAAGGATTTGAGATTAAATATTTTATCTCCTTTTTAAAGTTCAACACTTTACATTTCCTAACAAACAACATAAAGATCTAAGGGACCTATGTACGAACCAATATTGCACTCTCATTAATTGGAGATGTAAAAATCTAGCATAAACAGGGACTGTCGCCTCTCACTCGCCACTGGAGTTGCACAATAGAACGCCGTGGCGACTGAGAGTCTTCTCTCGAGCGCAAAGGGTTAAAACAAAATCCATAAAGAAAATGTAAGATATATTCAAAACAGATAATTTTATGTTCCAAATAATATTTTTAAATTTGTTAAATGTGTTTTATTTTCAAGTTATCCATTGTAATATAATTTGATTAATCTGAAAATATTCTTAATGAATAATTACAGCGGTGAAGAACCTTCCAGCCTAGGAGGACGGTTTTCCAAATCATCGTCCGAACGAGAACAAATCCTGCAGCGTCGCAAAGAACTGCTGAGACTCACTGCTAAGGAGAAATATCTCGAGAAGTGCCGAGAAAAGCATGGAGCTGACGAAAGTGTTTCTAATGCCACCTCTTAAAACAGGGAAAACAGAGAGATATATGCTGATAAAAAGTTCTTGATTTTTCGTGCTTCGTAGCGATTATCTTCTTCGAAGAAGAGTATAACGACTGATTTCCTTGAGTACACGTCCACCGACGTCCACTTACTTTTTCCTCGCCTCCTTTTTGTGTTTGCTTACATGCAGTTCTTATTTTCTTTTTTTTTGTGTAGACTATGTTCTTTACTCTTTGGTTTGTTCCTAAGCATTTTTGAATGATCTTAATTATTATTGCTCCTACAATGAGAACAATTTTTTAGGCACCAGTTCTCTTTTTTTATTCACTTTTCCTTTTTTCCATAGTCTGTGCACTCATAAATATTGTATTCGCTTTCTTTGATTTTTGTCATATTAAAATCCCGATCTTTAGGAATAGTTTCCTTCAAAATTCTAGACTCCTTACTTGAGAAGGACAGTTTCCTTAAGAATACGTTTTTTATTCTTAAGAAGAGGTAAGGATAATTAACTTAAAGTATTAACCATTTAATTCTTTAGCAATAATAAGAATTAACTTAAAAGTATTACTCGCTTAATTATTTTTAATTCTTTATTTATTAAAGTAATAATTAAGAAATGAAACTTTCCTGAGATCTTAATCTTTCATTTCGTATTTCTTCTTTTTTGTTAACCCATCAAAAATTTTTTCAAGAGCTTCTATGTTATACAGAAAAAAGAAAGTCCTTATACATATATAGGAAATTTAATATCTTATAAACAGGTAATTCTTTTCATTGAATTTAATATTTTTTATCTTAAAAGAAAACATTGCTTATATTTTTTCATTTTTCTTAACCGTTTTAGCGCCAGGCAGCGCGATCGCATTGTTCACGTACTGTAGTGAACTGTGTCGCGATGTTTGGTCACGGTCGTCAATTCGCAACAGGCACGGTTCCGAATGTAGCTCGTCGCGAGTCATATAAGTTTCCTCTCGTAATTACTTTTTTTTCAAATAATCGTAAACTACCTACATAAATAAGCTGTTTTTATTGAATTTACTTTTATTTACATATACTTCTGCATAGTATAAATATATTGCCAACATTTTTGAAAATATAAGAAAACATAATATAATATTTTATTTATAATAGATATAAAACTAGATTACTAATGTTCATTGTCATCTTTAAAAGTAAGTCTTTTATTTAGTTCACCCATTACCCTTGTTTCTTTATGTCTTCTTATGCTTTTACTATGATAAATGAAAAAAATAAACAATATATATTAAATGAAAACACAAAAGTGTAAACACACAAAGACATTAAAATTATATTCATGGTTTTACAGGATCACGACATTCATTATTTTTAAAACAGACATGTTTATAAAGACATAATGGATGAAGTCCATTTTTGCACTGCACACAAATTAAATCTAATCGTTTTATATCGGTAATAGAAGTATACCCGTCACCCATATGTGGATGACGCGGCGACAAACGTGTTAATTAAAAAAAATTAATGTATAAATTATTGCTTGAACTGGAAAACCAAATCCTGTGTTATACAGTGTTATCACGCAAACAAAACGTAAAACACGAATATTTCGCAAACTTTTGAGTGTTTAGTATAACGTTTCTGATATGACTGATAAGAAATGAAGCGCGAGCGCACCGAGCGACATATTTTGACGAAAAATAAGAGCAGCGCGATCACGTTGATCGGTATTTCTCGTAAATAAATGAACGAAGCGCTATCGCGCTGCAAGGCAAATCTGACACGGATTCTTAAAAACCCCTGGCACTAAAACGGTTAAAGGAAGATATTTTTTAACAATTTTGAAGATTTTCTTTGAAATCTTATTTTTCTATTCGTAAGAAAGTCGTTCTTCTTAAGAGTAGAAGAAAAGATTTTGATCTAATCGACATCGACTGGTTGTGAATTATATACTCATCGGTGGATTAGAGGACTGATAATAAATAGAATGTATTGTCGAAGGTAATATCTTTCTTTTTTCCATATATTTCTTTTTTATTCGAATACAGGATAAAATCACCTAATATTTTTAATAATAAATGGTTATTGTTATTTCTATTATTAATTTTAGTTTTATTAAGTACAAAAGAATATATTGTATGTTTTTTAATATGAAACACTATTATTTTATTTAAAAATGAATATTCTGTATTTGATTAATTTTATCAGTTGTAAACATCTTTTATTTATGTATACCAGTAAAAAAGGTTATATTTGAAGCAAAGAAAAAAGTTTTATTATTTATTGCAAAAATTTACGATTTATATAAATGAATTTTAATTTCGTTACCCTATCATTTTTGAAATAAGGTATTTTTAATAATAGATTCGAATATAATAATGCTTTTAGTAGTTTATTACAAAATTTTACAAGTAAAATCTCATTTTTCATTTTCAACCAATGAAATTCATAACAACAATATGTAGAATTACATGTGCAAAAATAAAATCTGCAAATCCTCTCTCTGGACTTATTCCATGAAATTGACTTTTATTCTGGGGATTCACTTGTAACCGTAAGCAAACTGAAATACATGGAAGAAGAAATAATTAAAACATATCCATTAATGATTGTTAACATAATTACTTGTATGATTTAATAGATTAAACTTAATACATTTACTATACTTTATTGAAAAAAAATATCTACATACTAACTTCATATTTATTTTACTAATAATTTATATTGCATATCTTTCTAATATAAGAATTTATAAAACTTATAAAGAGGAATGTAATAAATAAAACAAAAAAAATTACATAGCAAATCATGATTTGTTAAATATCGTACTAAAAATTTCATTAATATACAAAATAACTTCTATTACTCACTGAGTCCTATCGGACAAGATACTAATAAAATATAACAAATATTTATGTGTTACGCGCTGTACTTCCCATTATAGAAAAGATAAAATATACAGTTATGCAGTAAAAATGAATATTGATCACATGCAGAATATAATCAAAGAAAGAAATGATAAATTAATCTATAATATTTTTTAAATAAAATTGCAGTTCTTACTTACTTAGCTAACTACTAATATTAAGATAATTGAAAAAGTAATTTAACAATATGCTTTATATGATAACAGCTTAAAATTTAACAAATGATATAATAAATGGATTATGATATTGAAACTATACAATTGTTTCTTCGATATTTAATAACTTACAATATTTATAACTATAGAAAGAGATTTATAAAATTAAAAGAATTAATATTACTGTTATTAAAAAGTCAATCAAATTAAAAAGGAAAGAAATAATCATCAGTATTGATAACATTACAACTACTTAATAAGTTAAAAATTTGAACATATATAAATATGATTAGTGATAATACCTCCAAGAACGAAGCAGGAAACGCAGGAAATAAATCCACTAAGAAAACTATTGAAAGGGAATGTACCGACCAGACAACAATATACGAATTGTATGGCACCCGTTAAAAACACATAAAGTAGATAAGCATCTATTATTTTAAGTTTTTTTGGCGTACTTTTTGTGTACTCTTGCCAAAATTTCGCTATAACTGTTAACGCAGTCATGTCGTTCAAAAATCTTTTGACGTTCGGTTTTAGGTTAGATCGTATTTCGACTTTAGTATGCGCACATCATATAGCGTGCATGCGTGGCACGTTCCGAAGTTGCGCGCAATATAACTGATATATACGTATATATGGCCGATTCGATAAACAGACTTATCGATTCGAGTAATGTTGCGTGCAAAGGAATCGATGATTTAAATTCGAAACATCTAATTATGCTATTCTTAAAATGATAAACTTCCAAACTTTTTGAAATAAGTAATACTTATTAGTAAGGGTTTTTAATTTATTTAATATTTATATAATTTATTTAATTTACTTAATATTTTTGCAGATAATTGCACTGAGCTTGTATAATTCAGTGATTGAATATTCCCGCAAACTTGTGGTCTTCTTGAGTTTCTAAGGATTTTTTATTTATATTAATTTGCAGTCTAAACTGTTTTTCTCTAAAACCGTTCATAAGGTCTATATTCGTCGTCTAAAAGAAAATATACATTTGTCCTTGTCACACACTATTGCTTTCTCAGTCTAGCATCGTTCGTATCGTCTGTTCTTGTCGCGCAATATTACATCCCTTGCCTACAGACAAATCATGTGTTGCCATCTATTTTCGCATACTCCAAGTTGCAGCTTCTTCCATCTTCAGTAAATAGCAGCACATGGCTTATCTGTAGATTAGAAGCGCATTAGTTACGACAAAGACTGATATATGTACTATATCAGACGAAGAGAGCGTTAATGTACGACAAGGACGAGTTGTACGGGCAATAATGGTAAGTAAAATACTTTAACTGGTAAGTTCTGGTGTACTTGCCAACTTAGCAATTACTGACGAATCACGTCGACTAGAACGCTATGACAATGAGAAAGTAATTAGCACAGGCGAGGAGAATTCCCTTGAGATAAAAGGTAGCAAGAAATATATAAATACAATTGAAGAAGGAATAATTTGCTGCACAAATTGGTAAAAGGTGTTGATTATTGCGTTTTCTTCTTTCGGGTTGGTGGAAATGCAAGCGGGTTGGTAGATAGCTAAATAATTTGGTTGGAGAGTATCTGTATTCTTGCAATATAAATTCTTGGTCTGCTCAATCTAGATATCAATACGGATAGAATATCAGGTAAATCTAAATGATTAACTATTTGTATCTCATAGCAACGTTTATTGATTTCGATGAAATTCTGCAGCACGTAGATATTATGAATATTAATGAGAGTAACTGTATGTTATAAGATCAAGATTTTGAATGACTTTCTCTTATACATAATACGTATAACGGTCGATACAAGAACAATTGGTCCTTAGCTCGCAAGGTGTTTGCAAGCAGCTTCGTTTAAAAATGACTTACCAACCTTGAAAAAGTGTTTACAGGGCAAAAGGAATGGAATTTTTAGAAGAATTAGGCATAGCCCGTAATACGATGATCGGGTCAAACGTAAATATTACGGGAATAGCCCCCAGTAGATGATCGGATCAAACGTAAATATTACGGTCATAGCTCGCAGTACGATGATCGAGCCAGATATAATATATAATATAATATATAATAGCTTGTTTACGTTTTCGGTCCAAAATTCTCGAACGTAAATCGTAGGTTAAGGGGTTAAGAGCAACAGCAGTACTGTGTGAGATTCGTACATCATAGAAATCATTTGTATAACTAATTAATAAGCACAAAACTAGTTTTCAAAATAAATATATTAAAGCGAAAGAAAATCGTTCCATTGCATTTTAGCATAACAAAAATGCAATACTCGATCACTAGTTACCATATAAGGATCACTTCGAATCATTACATATAATATACTCATAATGAACTCATAATAGAACACCAGAGACGACACGTATTGCACGATAGAGATTTGGCGACGGAATAAGTTCTGGCTTCGAGTCCGACGCGATTGACGCGAATTGCACTGTGGGAATTTCTTCTCTTTCTTTCTCCTCGGAAATCTCTTCTTTGATATTTGGTACAGTTTATTGCATGTTTTTCTCCAGTATCGCATTTCCCGAACTTCTGCAATGTTAATATTGCATAAAAAGGCGTCATTTTTTATTCTAATAATCATATATCTAATATGTGGTACAATTAATATTTATAACAAATCTTTCCGCGAAAATTGTTTTCTTGGAAGGAGTATTAAAGCGTATAATAGTTCCAAACGGTGACTTCTTTTTATCATATAAAATATCTTTAAAAATTTGAAAATTAAAGTAAAGTTGGACAAATATGCGCAATATGTTAGTATTACGTGAATATATTTTATACTAAACTATTTACAGTTTTTGATACGATTTACAAAAGTAAAAATAGTCTAAATAATGCTAAAAAGGTATGACACTGAAATCTTAAATTCTATCAGATCCTGCTAAGTCGACAAAATTCAGACTTTCTATCGAAATTTCTTCTTTTGACTGATGAATTTCTATAAGTATCATTCTCGCTACTGAATGCGAGCCTGACGATCTAAAAAATTTAATTTTTTATTTATTTTTAACTCTATTGTACTTCTATACCTAAGATAGTTCGTTCGACCATGGAGGAAATTTCCTCTGAAATAACAGAAAATTATCGATTTATTTCTATAAGTATCGATAGTTCGGAATTATCGATGGACAAATGACCGTATTATATTATTGTGTTGGAATTATTTGATGCACGACATCAAATGTTTTTATACACCCTTTATTATTTTTAGAGATTTTAATATACAATGACATGATCTCATACATCCATACTTCTCGAATGTTGGAAAGCGATTCTGTTTCTAAATATTCGCGGTTGTTAACTTCTCGCTTCCAGAAACATCTTCAGTTCGATTGAAGTTGCGCACAGCAATTTTATACCGTCACAATAACATCATAGGTTGGCGGTTAGGGTTTCTAGAAATTAGTAATTTTGTTCCAATTTATTATTAAATAAAAAATTGTTTAAATTCAAATTATCCAAACTAATCGATCATTATAAATAATTATATAATACACTATAAAATATTTCTCCATCCCTAGTACTATTCATTTTTAGTACTATATTTAAGTGTTGAAGACATTGCCAAATGTTAATATAGAGGTTAGAGTAAACATGATATAAAGGCATGTAATAGTTGAATATAATTTATGTTCACAAAATGACAGACGAAAAAACGCAAACACAGGAGTTTAAATTAGATCCAGATTGTGAATTACGATTTGAAGTTGAAACAAAAAATGAAAAAGTTTCGCTAGAGGTATGTATTATATCTTTCGTGTACTTTGTATTATATTATATTATATTGTTTATTTCCATCGTGTATTTAATTTCATCTCCATCTTTTGTAAATATATCATAACATTATATTAATCTTCTTTTTAGTTGAAGAGTGGATTAGCTGAAGTTTTTGGTACAGAATTAGTGAAAGGCAAAAAATATGAATTTACTGCTGGTGCTAAAGTAGCTGTATTTACTTGGCAAGGTTGTACAGTAGAGTTAGTTGGAAAAACTGACGTTAGTTATGTAGCCAAAGAGACCCCAATGGGTCTTTATTTAAATTGTCATGCTGCAATGGAAAGACTCAGAGAAGCTGCAGAGAAAGAAGACACTAGGGGTCCCATAACAATGGTTGTTGGTCCTTGTGATGTAGGAAAATCAACTCTTTGTAGACTTTTATTAAATTATGCAGTTAGGATGGGTCGTAGGCCAATTTTTGTAGACTTGGATGTTGGTCAAGGTCACATAGCAATACCAGGTACTGTTGGAGCACTATTAGTTGAACGTCCATCAAATGTAGTTGATGGTTTCAGTCAGCAGGCACCATTAGTCTTTCACTTTGGACATAAAACTCCACAAGCTAATGTTGCTCTTTATAATCTTCTTGTAACGCGCCTTGCAGAAGTCTGTTCTGATAGACTTCAAGCAAATAAAAAAGCCAGAGTTTCAGGAATAGTAATAAACACATGTGGTTGGGTAAAAGGAGATGGATATAAATTGTTGACACATGCTGCTCAGGCTTTTGAAGTAGATGCGATTCTGGTATTGGATCAAGAAAGATTGTACAATGAACTTGTTAGAGATATGCCAGACTTTGTTAAAGTTGTATTCCTTCCAAAAAGTGGTGGAGTTGTGGAAAGAAGTCAAACTCAAAGGACAGAAGCCAGAGATCAAGGTGTCAGGGAATATTTCTATGGTTCTAGGACACCACTTTATCCACACAGTTTTGAAGTGAAATGGAGTGAGGCTAGATTATACAAAATTGGAGCTCCAGTGCTTCCCGCATCTTGTATGCCTCTTGGAATGAAGGCAGAAGATAATTTAACAAAATTAGTAGCTGTTACACCTGGACCAAATCTTCTTCATCATCTATTATCTGTTTCATTTGCTGATTCACCAGAAGATGATGTAGTGCAAACTAATGTGGCTGGATTTGTCTGCGTGTAAGAATTATTATAAGTAGAATGCTTTAAGTGAAAATAATTTATATGAGTTATATAACTATATAATTTATTTTTGTTTTGTTTATAGAACCAATGTTGATGTTGACAGACAAACATTTACAGTTCTGAGTCCACAGCCAAGACCATTGCCAAATACAGTTTTATTGCTTTCAGATATACAATTTATGGATAGTCATTAACTTTTTATATGAGATATTCAATGAGTTTAATAAATTTTCTATTAAAAAGTGCTTTCTGTGTTTCTTTTTTAATACAGTAGGAATTGATTTTTAAATGATTATAATAAGATATAATAAAATTCCTAGTTGTATAATGTAGGTAAATAAACATTTCGTAAAATTCATTATACAGGGTGGTTCAGCTAAATGGAACCTAAATATCTATCCCATTAGTGCACAGTCCTCTTAGAGTAGTAAGAAACCTGAAAAATATGTATTCAGATAAAACTAACAATGAGATAGCAAGAACTGTGAAATCTCTAATGAGTTGGCTGTATGTGCATTAGACGCTTTAGGTTGATGGTGAAACAAACTCAAAAAGATTTGAATGCATGGCCCTTTATTTTCGAAAAATCAATAAGCTTTTTTTATTCTACTTTATAAATGACTTTAATAAAAATATTAAGTTTTTTTAATGTTAAATTTTTACAATTTATGTTGATAAATTTTTTATTATTTTTATTTGTTATAGTATCCCTGCATATTCTTACAATTTTACAAGTGGAAATTACAATAAAAACATTAAAAACATAAGAAATTGCTGTACCAAGAACATAACTTTTTGAAGATAGAGAGCCATGCGATCCTTTTGGGACTGTTTTATCATTAATCTAAAGCATTGAATACACATGCAGTCAACACACCAATTGTCGATTTGTCAGTTTTTGTTACGTCTTGTAAGTTCGATAGATCGATTATTCAAGATGATGTAGTAGTATTTCAAACTTCGAGTAGTTTTGTAACAATTTTTGCTATTTTATAGAACAAAACAGACTATATAATCAAATTATAATTCAAATTAATTCTTTAATGATTAAAACCGAAGAGAAATGGAAATCATCCGATCTAATATACCAGATATTTCTCACTTTGAGAAGAAATTTCGCGAAATAATTTATGAACACCAACAAAATACAGTAAACGCCATTTTTATACTCTTTTATACAAAATTTATATCAGATATATTTTTAAATCAAAAGAAAAAAAGTCAATATGTAAAAGAAGTTAAAATAAGATTTGTTGCAATGAATATTTAATAACATTTTTTCAGAAGGAATTGAGTAATTTAGAAAAAGAATGTTTATTGTTACGCGAAGAACTTTGTTCGAAAGATCATCTATTGCAAAATGAACAAAAAATATCGAATGAATTAAAAGTTCGTTTAAAATTGGCATCAGAAACGATTGTTCGATTGGAGGAGGAAAACATGCATAATAAAATTGATTATTCGAATTTGTCAATGAATTATGAAACCTTGCTTAAAGAGAGTGATGTTTTAACAAAAGAAGCTGTATCCTGCCAAACAGAAGCCGCGAAAGTGAAATTAAAAATCACGAGTTTGGAAAATATATTACGGCGGGAAATTTGACAAAAGGAGAAACTAGAGCAAGCATTAATAGAACTAAAGAATGATTATCAGAAAATCACAGCTAATATTGATATGTAAATTTCTATAAAAGTTTTATTGCACTATTATTCTAGAAATCATTCTTAGAAAATCATTATTATTTATATTTTAAATACTTTTTTTTTTAAATACTTATTTTTTATAAAAGGAATCGTAGTTTGATAGGAAAAGGTGTGAAATGGGTTTAGCATTTGCTTTACTCTTATCAATTATCTCTACATCCTCTTAAAGATTAAGTTATCTCCTTGAAGTTTTGTAAGAGTTATTTACGATACAATATCTTATTTGTTTAAAATATTATATAATTTACAAGTAATTTTAGAGATATTTAAAGTTCTTTACTTATATTAAATAGTAAAAAATATCATTAAGATTATAATAATATATCATCAATATATAGATATTTATTTGTATGAAATGAATATTATTTATAAAAACTTTATATGTATCACTCATTTATTAATTACGATATCAGTTTGAAAATAATCTTTGTTTATTTAAATTAGAAATATTGCCAAGATCGCAAAAGAACAGCAATATTTATTAGAAAGTAGCAAAGCTGCAATTCAATTGAACAGACGATTGCAAACTTTTGGTCTCTGTTCTCATGCAATGAATAAAAGAAACAAAGCAAATATAAGAGAATTACAACATAAACTAACTGCTCTTTCTGTTAACGAATTCAATAAATTATCCAATAATAGTATATTATTACATCCAGAAATGGAAAATTTATGTTTCAAGGTATATAGATTATATTATTCTTTTGCGTTATTAGTATCATAAAAAGTTACATAATACTAAGAATGTTTAACAATATTATGTATTGTATTTGTGTTATTAATCTATATTTTTCAGCTGAAAGAAATGTTAACAAACTTCGAAACAAAAATGCAAGATCCTGTACCATTTGAAGAAAAATTGGACAGAATCTTCAACGAGCTGTCCACAAATTTGATATAAATATAACAATAATGAAAACAATTCTAATGAATGAAGTTAATCAAGTCGATGATTACCAACATTTATTTCATTTCAGTTTCTCAATACATCTGATAAGTAATAGGTTTATTTCGACTTGATAAAATATTTCAAAATAAAATTACATTGCTTATCGTTATAAAACATGTTAAAAAATTACTAATAATTTTGTATATACAACACCATCCTTGCATTGAAGCAGTTTGAGATTGTAAGGAAAAAATTAGCCGTTAGTTCGTTGCCATTTTCAATTTGTTCCATTTTAAAAACTAAAACTGGAAGCTTTCCAGCGACCTCTCTATTACAGTGGTTGACCATGAAAGAAAAGTTTCTTAAAACAAAAAGAGAAAAATATTGTTCGTATGCGACGCATAGTTTCTTTTTTCTTTAAATAGCACTACGTTTATATATACTAGATTTAAAAAAAAGTCACCGTCGACGCTGAGTCGTAATTATATAAATAATATCAATAACAGTATAAACGGAATCGTGTAACATTATTATTATCATCATTATTATCATTATTCGCAACTAATCGATAACATTTGACAATTAAAAAATTGATCGTGTCGCGATATCAAAGGAAAGGCGGGTTATAACAATAAAAATAGACGAATAGGATTAATATAAAATGTATTATAATAATCGTATATTTTAAGTATATAAGTGGAAACAGATTGGAATCCCTTTTTTCTCGTTCTTAGGAAACAAGAAACAAAAAAAAAAGAGAACCCTCTGTTTCTTTGGAAAAAGAAAACTATTACAACAAGCGTTTCAAACGAAGACGAAATCCGTGATCCATCTTTTTTGTATTACTTCTTTTATCCATTTTTTTCTTGTTTTCCTTTTTATTATTTCTTTAACAACAGAGAAAAAGGGAGGAATAAAAAGAGTTTAAATCAAAAATATTGAAAAAGCCTTCTCGTCTTATTTTCTTTCTTTTTCGAGTTCTGAATTTGCGCTAATTATTGAATTAATAAAATGAGGAATTCTTCTTCGATCCGGTGAAAAAGCTAACTTGACGATGTGTATATAGATATATATGCATGTATATATATATCTATATAAATATTTATATTTATATATAAAAAATGACCGCCCATTGTTCACCTATTCGCATCTCCCTTCTTTTTTGTCTTGCTTTTACAATGTCTTATAAAGAAATAGCTTCGAAATGCTTTTCAAAAAAAGAAGAGATTTCTCATGCGTTGGCCGGAGAGAAATTTCTTCCTTTTATTTTCTCTTTCTTGTTTACTTCCTTTTGTTTCTCTTTTTTTCACTCATTTAAATAAAGCGAATGCAAAAAATATGTGTTAAAAAATCGTACCCCTTGATTAATTAAAACGTGGAGGAGAAACTTCGTATGCATAGCATTTGAACATAAAAATATAAAAACATCTTATATTTTTCATATTTATCTGCATTCATTTAACATAGCCGAATTTTAATACAATAGAAGCAAAATTGCTGAATATCGAACGGTCGTTTAAACGAGAACAGAGATTTTCAAAATATACAGTAGCTCATAAAAATATTCAGATATTTACAAAAACCTTTTATGGATATATTATGTGTTATAGGAAACATCTTGAAATTTTATTAGTACTGTAATGAAACCTAAATAGCACGATTATATTGATAAAGAAAAAATTTGCAAATGTACATAGAAGCTATAAGATGGTAGGAGCATATATTTTATAGAGGTCACAAAAGTATTTAAACAGTCAATTATGCATTATATTAATAATTCTCTATGTTCAGAGAGATCGTCTTTATCATTTACTTACGTTTAAGATGACTATTCATGCTGTGTACTAATTTTTCACTAACTGTATATTTGCAATAAATATCTTGAAATTTCTATATACACTTTCGAATCGATTTCAAATTTTATCATAATAATCACGATAATCGTGTCTCATTACAGTGGAAACAAAATTTCAAAAAGTTTCGTACATTACACGTAATATATTCACAAAATAGTTCTGCGGTAATTATTAGAATACTTTCATGAGCCACTATAAGTTAACGCGTTAAAAACAAATTAACGATTTATTATTGTTTCTACGGGTGGCCAACTTCCAGCTTATCGTCGTTATTATCCTCATTTATAGCAAAGCTTACAACGTATGTAAATGAATCGCACGATAAACGAAAAGCAGAATTGCACGTTATTTACGACGCGCAATTCTAAAAATTGATTTATTTTCTAGATTGCTCATTGACTGGTCGAGAAGTTAAGATTATCCTTCTTCGACAGCATATCAATTTTACACGGCGTAAGCATTCTAAAGACTGCTCGATCAATTGCACTCCTAATATTTCGTTATGAAACGTGACAAGTAGAAACGATGTGACTTACGAGGTGGTATTCGAGCGTCGTTAAAAAATTATCAAAAATTATCACAATTCGCGATTCGTTTCCTTCGGGAAATTCTCTTTTGAACGTGCCTTTTTTCTTCTTCTTCTCCTTTTTTGTTTCTTTTTTCTTTTTTTTTTACTTTTTTTGTTCTTTTAATTTCTTTTCGGAAAGGATGAGGGGAAAGGCAGTTTCTCCTCCAGGATAAAAAGAGCTCCTATGAGTAATCAGTAAAAAAGAGAGACCGGCAGCGACGGAGGGAAACGAAGGTGGCCGTCAAGGAGTAAAATCACAGAAGTACTCGCGACGTGCAGCGAGCGAAGGAGACCGAAGGTAAAGAGTAGTTGGTGACGGTCGAGGATATGCCGGCTGATGGGTCAGAGTATAGTGCATCGTGCAAGCCAACTTGGTGGCTTCCTTTGTGGCTCGGATGCTTTCAATTGATGTCCTCCTCCTTTCGGTGGATTTGATGCCTCCTGTGTTCAAAATAATTCCATTGTTAGATATTAATTTCATATAATATACCGCTTATTTAAGTAAAAGTAGACTGTGGATGTTTATGTGGATTTTTAATCATTTAAAATTAAGATAAAACTTTATTAGGGAATTGTTTTAGCTGCTAAATATTATAGAATACTATGATTTGGATATTTTATATATTTTTGCATATTATGAGACCTGTGTATTCTTGCATCTTCAAATGCATACAAATCCACAGTCTAAGTATTAATAACAAATAATTTGAAACACCAAAAATAAAATTTGTACTTGTCAATATTGATTATGAAGAATTATGAAGGATATTAAAAGTGTGTCATATGTTATTATAAAATATTCATTCATATATTTTTATATGGCTTTCTATGAGAGTAAAAGAATATAAGTTGGTAGATATAAAAGCAATAATAAGAAATGAAATTTATAAAACAGTTATTGTGTTAACATGTTCACATAAGCTCTTAATATGCATGCTATTACATAACAAAAGCATAGTTTGCTAAAAAGAACACACTCCATCATAGACAAGAGTGAAATATGCATACATATATAGTATAACATATTATTAGTGGCATTGAATCAGAAGAATCTGAATAAATCTTTTATAGTAAATAATATTTTGACAATAAGGAAAGAATTATTTTTTAACTTTCTGATACAATGTACTAAGTGTTAGTATTAAATGTAGATAAATTACAAATAGTCGTGCAAAATATGTAATGTGTACAGAGAGGAAGAGTTACCTTCTGCCGAGACAGACCCGCACCAAACACAGAGAAACAGACACAGGAAACAAAGAAATGGTGGTTAATCAGTGTATACCTATTTTCTAGAATATATCTGTGAAAGCCACTAAACTATATCTAAACAAGAGTCAGTTTTAATCTCTGGAAATGATAAAATTGAGTTCTAGAATTACCATTGAAAGAATTACATATATATATGTATATAATTCATGTTTCAGTATATAATTATAACAATAAAGATTCTTACAATTTTTTTAAACATAGGATTAAAATATACTGATATATTAAACTTTTTATTCGATTCAAATTTAGATGTGACACACTTAAACAGTTTCCTTTAGGAAGTTCAGTCAATTTTTCCAATTCTATATTTTTTACTATTAACTAATTATACTTATAATAGTAAAGAATTATTAATCAATATCTTTTTTCCTTTTATCGCTCTACAGCTACAGAAGAAGACAAAAGAAGAAAGCAGAAGCATATTGAAAAAAGATATTTACCAGTTTCTTTTCCATTTTAGCCTTGATATCTCGTGCAAGGGTATAAAATGCCTCTTCAACATTAATGCTAGATTTAGCAGAGGTTTCCATAAATTTTATTCCATATTCAACAGCAAGTTGTTCCCCTCGTTCCTTTGAAACTTGCCGTTTTTCTGTGAGCTCACACTTATTGCCCAATAACATCTTTTCAACATCCGCAGAGGCATTTTCTTCTATGTTCCTAATCCAGTTCTTTATGTTCTCAAAACTTTTCTCGTTGGTTACATCATAAACTAGCATTATACCCATTGCACCACGATAATATGCTGTGGTTATTGTACGAAACCTTTCTTGGCCTGCTGTATCCCTTTAAAGACATATAAAACATCTTTATTCCAATAAATATTAGGAAAATTATATAGAGTAAAGCATTAAATTTGTGACATTCTCATTAAAATTATATATTATATTATATATATATTATATATTATATATTATATATTACTACATTTTAATAGTTATATTATGAAATATTTTAGTCTTAAGAATCTGATTTAATTACTTAGTACTTACCATATTTGTAATTTTATTTTCTTGCCATCTAATTCTATGGTTCTTATTTTAAAATCAATTCCTGGAAGCATGAAATAAATAAGTAACATAAATCAATGGCCAAAAGAATTTATTGAATTAATAAACAAATTAAATAATATCATAATTGTTAAAAATACACTTAATATTTTGCACACAATAAATATTAGAAATTTGTGCCTTTAAGAATTAGATTGGATTTCAAATTTATTTCAAGTATATTTCAATAAATGTAAAAACTATAGTTTTTCTATAGTATAATTCTGAAATATCTATATATATTCTCTAAAAACATTCTTTTTTAATTTCATTATAGATTGATTCAAATCAAAGTTAAAACAATCACAAAGTATTATGCATTACATTTACAAATAAAGGAATCTATGTTGTGCTATGAATGTTTAAACATGCATGAATATGCATTTAAATCAACATAAATTTATTATTCTGCATGACTATACAAAGCTATTCTATAGGGTGTTTCACACAATTGTATAGAATTATATCTCTAAAATGATTAGGTATAAAAAAAGTTCCAAAAGATAAAATTAAATGAATCTTATATTTCTAAATATATATTTTTTGATATGTTAAATAAATATTAATATTACATACTTTGTTTATATGAATTCATTCTATTAATATTAATTTTTTCATATTAAGAAGAAAATAAGAATTGATATTTACTTTAATCTTTAAGTGCTAAATATACTTTGTCCAAGTAAACATATTAAGGTGGCCTTAATAATTGGTTGATCTGGTTTATGCACTTGACATAATTTTACTTACAGTTTTATGACTGACAATTACCATTTATAAAAAAAATATATAATCAAATTTTTCTCATCTTTTTAATATTAAATAATATTAAAATATAACGTATTTTTTAAATTTTTACTTTTCTTCAAGCCACGTGTTTGGATAACAAATAATATCCACATAAATGTAAAAAAAACATAATACAATATAAAATATATACCCATTAGGTAATGTGATATTTTCAATAGATCTTATTTCATGTAACAATATCTGTTTTCATTTACTTGAATACATAATGGGATTAAAAATTTGATTGACATAGAAACGTATTAAATTTGCTGCACATTTTGTTATTATTATAACAAAATATATTCCTAATAATTCATTACTTAAATCTTTTCTTCTAAATCATTGGTATGTGATATAAAGTAAATAATCACACAAATATAAATATACGTATTAAAAATATGTGTACTTTATAGAACATCAATTATAATAAATAATTTAAGGAACAATAAAAGCTGAAGAAATTAATATTCAGATTTTGATTATTTGAAAATAAACATTAATAAATAAGAAATAAACACAGCAAAGATATCTTAGATAAATCAGTCACTATTGTGTATGTATATAAATAAACATATAGATAAGAATGTTTATGAAGTTGCACAAATATTTCGTAAAACATATAAATAGCTAAATAGATATATATAGAAATATAAATATTACATATACATATATGTATGAAACTTTAAAAGGTAAACAACCAAATAAACAAATAAAAATCCTTCTATAAATAAATCTCAATAAACAAAAGGAAGCAATCTCTAAATTAAGAACTCAGGATATAGAGATCACAAAATAAAAATACACAGCTGCATTTAATAAAGAAAATTCTTTCTACAAATGTAATAACTGTATTTAAATAATCATTGCATAAGCAGCGGTCACCTAAATTAATCTTCTAGAAGAATATATCCTTAAAAAGAAACAAATATACAACTAAATTTACATTTGTAAGATAATAAATATTATTGAGAGAAATATTCTCTTGATAATTAATCTTTCAATTGTATATGAAGATTTGATGAGTAATTCATTGATATTCATTGAAAAAATATATGCTACTACTTGAAAATCTGTAAACAAAAGTAGATGAATAAAAGTAAGAAAGGAAAATGCTGTTGGGAAAAAGAAAAGAAAAAAGGATATACTTACCAATGGTCGAGATGAAGGTCGTGTTGAAAGCATCCTCGGAGAACCTGAAGAGGACGCACGTCTTGCCGACCCCTGAGTCACCAATCAGCAACAACTTGAACAAATAATCATACGTCTTCGCCATACCCTTTGTTCCTCAGTCACACTCTTTATTTCACGTGATCTCTTCTCGCACTTCTTTAATATTCCCCTGTTTTATTCTTTCAGCCCCCTTTTTAACACGATCTTCTCTCGCGTAATCGTGATCCTTGGAATTCCAATGACGCACCCTTTAAACTTAAAAGCGAGCACACTCGGTTAGAATCTGTCTCCCTACTATCGCGACAATATTGAGTTCAGAAAAGGTCTAAAGGTGAGACTATCGGCGGAATCTGTTCGGAAACGACGGAGCTCGTGTGATAGATCACGCAAAAACATCTGTCAGAAAAAGCGATGACAGCCATCGGTAAGTACAACTTTTTCTCTGGTGTTGTGGCCAGCCTTCTGACCGCACCACAGGTGATGCGCGCGTGTGTATACGCATACGCAACACGTGTGTCGGGAACAAACTGGATTTTCATGCGAGATTACGTTATGGCGAGTTTATATGAAGACTATTAGAATAGTGGGCATTCGAATCTCAGTTTCGAAATGATTTAATATTTTTCAAGACTATCAAAATTCGAATCAATTCGGATAACATTCGATGCCTTGAAACCTAAAATTTTTGAAAAACTTGGAAATCTTGAAAGTTTTTAAATCTTGAAAGCTTATGTAGTGACGTAACACTGTAAAGTAATACAATTGGAAATGCCACTATTAAGAACGAAAAGCTTCTGAAGTTTTGAAGTTAGGATTTGAAAGAATTGAATATTTGTTGCTCTCTATGTTTCGAATTTTCATTACATTGTAATGAATTTGTATTTTTTAAATCAATGAGATTATGAGATAAGGTAAATTATTTTTGACACATTTCTGAAGCCATAATTTTTTTCATAGAAGTTTTTATGTTATATAGACTATCTTTCTAATGTACCTTTTTCATGGATATAGGAATATCTTTCAAATACAAATTCACTAATTACGAAACCTAAATAAAAACCTAACCAACAGATAATAAATTGAAAATCAGATTATCTTTTAGAAACTAAGTGCTACAGTACGTGATATAATTTTATTAATTACGATAAGATGACCGCAGCTAGTACTAAAAAACGTAGAGTTTCCAAAAAGAACAAAATAGCATGGCGTAAATATGTAGACATGAAAGATGTTGATAAATTCTTGGAGGATTCTCGGCTAGAAGAGAGGTTAGGTTCTTTTGCTTCTCGTGATAATTCAGAATTATTCGTTATTTCTACAACAACTCCAGTATTGTCAAAGAAACAACGTAGAGAATTATTGAAATCGAAGGAGCCAAGGTGCTTTAGTATTTTAAAACCTCATACAGCTGTCCCAGACCCAATATCGAAAAGAAATCGTGTAAGGACAAGGGAAGAAAGAAGAAATTCTCGATTTAGAACTAAAGAAGAAAGAAAAAAAACACAGATCTTGAAAAGGGAAGCTATTAAAAGGTCACAAGAACCAGAACAAAACGCAAAGTGTGAAACAAAATGATAATACATATCTTATAATCTTCCGTTCCTGTATTTTAACCGAGGATATAAATGTTTCATAAATGTACAAAAAAGTAACGTTTTGGAAACAGTAATAGAAAAGGAAACAACATGTAATTGAAAAAGGATATTTTTATTACACAAAGTATTATTGTTAATGATATTTTGATTGCTTAACTAAAATTATATTTTTTTATAAGTAGTCCAGAAAGTTTGAATACTTGTACATGTGTGTACAAAATTCTTACTGTATTACACATTACAATATTTTTAACAAATATAATTTTTTAAACCTGTCATTTAGTATTTGTATATATTCTATATTTTACATATATGTTAACATTTCAGTAAAAACTTCTATTAATTTTCTCGAAGTATAAGAAAATGTTTAAATAAATGAGAGAAATTCCTTATTAACAATTGTGTAATTCATTTACATATATAAAAATATTGTAAGAACTATATAATGCAAACCTAAATAAATGTCAATAATTTAATAAAATTTTCTAAATAAAATTTGTAGAAAGCTTAAGATATTTGCTTATTATTAATAGTTACATTACGTGATTTAAGAAACAAAGAAATATTTAAAATTAAAACTATCTATGTGCTAAGTATTTGTAATTTTGCGAAGTTAAATATACATATATATATATATATATATATATATATATATATAGATTGAATGTTTTTGTCACGTGGTTTCTTAATACTGAGTTATCTGCCAAAACGTCGTATTGAAGTTCGTTGATATTGGAAATGTTTACGTGCTTTTTTGCTCTGGTTACAATGTTCTATCATAATTCGAGAAAGAAGAATTTTTAATAAAATAATGGCATTTGTGTCTGTCTTTAAAGTGCAAGACTTTTGTAAGACGATAATTAATGTGTGTAATATAATAATTCCTGTGACTCTTTTCATACTAATTGCGTTTATTTTGATCGTATTTAAAAGGTAAGTGATTTAAATACTTATATTTTATTACTAGTAAATTATATGTTTAATTTTAATCATTTATTTTTTACGTCTTTTGATTATTGTTATTTTGGTATCAGGTTATCTTATTATTACAGTATCTCTAGTTTTATGTAATTTTGTGTTAAATTATTGTAAAAATATCATTCTACGTTCTTAAAGTTGTAATTTTTTATTATAGAAGTGAACATAAGAAATACTATTTGTGTTTGTATAAAGATTTTATACAATTATATAAATGATAAATTGTATATTTAACAATTTTTGTTATTTATATTATTATATGTAATTGAACATAATGGACAACAAGTTAGTGTATGGCGATTGGTAATAATATGCATACATTTGTGCATTTACAAGTATATACATAATTTTGTATGATGAGCAACCTGTTACGAATTAGATAAAAAATGTAAGATTACATTGGATAATTATAATAATATTATTAGTTACAAAAATGTTGTTAAGTTAAGTTTATCGATTATGTAATATAATGCAGAATTTAAGATTTATTGGCATCGTATAATGATTAATGAAATTGTAGGGCTTATTTGGAAGAGGAACTACATCAATTTCTGATTTTTTACATTATTAACTAACTTGTACATTCCATTACCTTCTAGATGATTTTAAATTTTCACAGCTTTTTCAAGAAAAATGTGTTTTTTATTATTTTTGATTATATTTTTTATATTTCTTTGATTGTATCATTTCTTTCAATATATACATGCTAGTATGCGCTCTACTTTGGATATTTTATATAGTATATTCTGCAATGTTTTACATCTTTAAACATTTCATAAATGCATAAACATCCACAATCTAGTTATTAGTTACATTGTACAATTACTCATTTACCTAAATCGTTAACTAAACAGTTTATAATCTTTGGTACAGTTTTGACGCAAATAGAAATTGTGAAAGAATTATTAAGTTCTTTTTTGAATGTAATGGACTGTACAGATTTAGTGGTAGATTTACTATCATTGTCACAGCGTCAAAAGCTGAAATCCTTCCACATTTTATTAATTCTTTTGTTAATAAAAAATAAGGAATATAATAAGCGACAAGTTTACGAGACATTACAGAATTAATTTAAATTATTAAATTATTAGATTAAAGAATATAATAATTGCCTGATTTATCTACGAATTTCAGTTTCATTTGGATACTTATCGTGTGTTGTCTCTATATAACCAGTGTCTTTTATGGGCTCGTTATATTAGAGTATGTCGGCGTGGCACTCGTGAATTTAAATGCAATAAGCGATAGTTTTAATCCAACCTATGAAATCAAGGATCCGTGCAGCGTTTGCAGTAATAATAGCTGCAAGAGACATAAATTGTTGCCACATTCGACGAAAGTGAAAATACCGAAGGATCTTGACCATGCATTAGAACAAGTAATTAATCTTTGCAATTCAATGCTTCGTAAAGTTTCTTAATTTTTTAATTTTCCTTTTATTTCTGCAATCCTTATAATAATGAAATTCATCCTTATAATAATGAAATTTGCGGCAATTTTGTTTTCTTATCTTTTGCTGTAATGAAATTTAATTGGGTTTCTGTAACTGCACTTCCATTTTACCTTAAAACTTTTCGGCAAAAATTAACAAATAAAGTTCCTATTTAATTACTGTCACGCTTCGTATATATATATCAAACGAAAAAAAGAACAGATATAAAATTTGTTTCCACAGCTTCTGGAAGATTTATTGCAGAAATATGTTTGCGCATGGTACTCGGATTTTTCGACGAACGAAGCGTTCGTACAACAGCTTCGTTTGGCCACAGCTACTGCAACGAAAGATATCGCAGTTCGGTTGCTTCGCACAGACGTGTCCAATGTCGTGTTTTACCATTTAATACCTCTAATATTGCAACATGCTCAAGATTGGAAAACATTACGCACAAAGATAAAGGATTTGTCGGATACATCTTGTTTCGGGAATCAACTGATCGACCATTTTGGTCGTGAGATACATCCAGCGAGTTACTCGCGTAAGGCAGAGCTGAATTATCTGAGAGGAATTGTAACAGCGTTTATACCGTATTTATTACCTACCATCCATGTGTCTACTAACAACAAGGTAAGTTCTTATAGAACGTTTATGAGATCGAACTAATGATTATTAAGAGAAGACCATTGTGAATTTCTCTTTCATAAATTGTTTATGATATACCCTAAACGAAATTTCACTTGCGAATTCCTTCAAAGCAAATTTTTATTCCTCCTGTGAAAACTTTTAAATGTTTGACTAAAAACTGATTGTACAATATAGTAAAGATTACAATCAGCATCGCAGAATTTTTTACGTTTTTTGAAAGTTTGGGACAGTAAAAAAATTAGGCGTGGACATAAACGACTAAGGGTCGGTGTAAAAATATATTTGTCCATATGCGGGTTAAGAGAATATTTCTTATCAAATCGCTCGTCATTATTTAATAAATATTTAATATTCTTTAAGAACTACTTTATTGATGTATACACATATAAATTGTTACTCTACTCGCTACTCTATGGATTCTCAGAAACTACGCTGATCAACTTCATAATTTAAAATACATAAAATTTGTATTTTATTCACCTTGGAATTCAATTGTTTATGCTACCTACTCATAAATTATAAGACGATACATTTATGAAAATAGCATTTCTTTTCTGAAAATTCTTATACTAATTCTATGCCTTGATAATGTGAAGTTAATAACTTTATATAAAAATGGAGTTGATCATTTGGAATCAATTACAAATAATGCGTGTGTTTATTACGAACACTGATCAAGTGGCACACATTGTGAACTGTTTGTGTCTCTAACAGTGCCCTTTACACATCTGCAGCCGCTAGTGGCTCTATTGCATACCTGAAAAGAATTTATTATCAGAAAACAAATATTATGATGCAGTGTATTGATATCATATTAATAATTAATAATTAATAAATAACACTCACGATTCGAGGGCAAAACTTGCGATTTGGTTGTGGATTACTGCAGGTTGGCTCGCATAGTGTTCCACATACGTGTTCTTGTTGATTTTCTGGACATTCTGATTCGGCAGTTGAGTCTTGGATTGAATCTAATTTCGGGTATTTACAAATAACATAGACGAAGATGAAAAAAATATAATTTTGACCCTCCCACAGAATTCGTAAAATTACATTAGTAATTAATAGATATTTGAGAATATGAGGGAGTTTCAGTCCGAATGATATACAGAGTGTCTCAACTAAATGAGATCATCTAAATATCTACCTTATTTGTGTTTATATGTTTATATGAATGATATGAGAACTTCTGAGAACAAAGTTGAGCTATTTCAAGAGGCACGTGTAACGATGGAAAGAATTTTTTCTCAAGGTTACATTTTCAAGAGATTTCAAGGCCATCGGTATATTTTTTATTCTCTATACAAAAGTATTAAGATATTTATGTCGGCAGATATATAGAATTCTATTCAAAAACATATCGGTGACATTGAAATCTCCTGAAAAAATGATTTTGAGAAAACATTCTTTTGAGAAGAAAAGGGGTGATTCTACGCGAAAAAAGAAGTCGAAAATATAGAATACAAATTTTTTTTTTTTTAATTTTTCCATCGAGACAACGATCTACAGTGAGATCCGTTATAACGTACCGCAGGCGTACCGAGCGAAAATTCAAAGTCGATTTTCTCGAAAACAAAGCCTCAAACGAAAAATGTTTATTGTACATTTTCGACTTATTTTTTCGCGTAGAATCACCCCCTCTCAGCTTGTACCACCAGTTACCAACCACCCTGTATATTTTTCCCTTATTTTTTCTCGTAGAACCACTCTATACTAAAATTGCTCTGTGCCACCAATTACGGATCACCTTGTACAATAAAATCTTCAGTCAAAAAAATACTCGCCTCTCTTTACGAATATGTAAACACTTTATACTACATAAAGGATATTAATTAGTTACAATAGCAAAGAATATACGAAACGTAATTGCTTAGATAAAAAAGCAATATGTCAAGTCGTGTCTAACTATATTTGGTATATATGTTCTTAAATTATTTAAATATTTTTTTTAACACCATAGATATTCCAAGGCGAGGATATATTCAAAATTTGAAATTATTACAACATTAATTCTTTAGTTTTCTAATATTCCTTTGTTCTGTCCTATTATACAGGGTGGTTGGTAATTGGTGGTGCAAGCGGAAAGGGGGTGATTCTACGCGAAAAAAGAGGTCGAAAATATAGAATAAACATTTTTTTTAATTTTTCCATCGAGACAACGATCTACAGTGAGATCCGTTATAACGTACCGCAGGCGTACCGAGCGAAAATTCAAAGTCGATTTTCTCGAAAACAAAGCCTCAAACGAAAAATGTTTATTGTACATTTTCGACTTATTTTTTCGCGTAGAATCACCCCCTCTCAGCTTGTACCACCAGTTACCAACCACCCTGTATATTTTTCCCTTATTTTTTCTCGTAGAACCACTCTATACTAAAATTGCTCTGTGCCACCAATTACGGATCACCTTGTACAATAAAATCTTCAGTCAAAAAAATACTCGCCTCTCTTTACGAATATGTAAACACTTTATACTACATAAAGGATATTAATTAGTTACAATAGCAAAGAATATACGAAACGTAATTGCTTAGATAAAAAAGCAATATGTCAAGTCGTGTCTAACTATATTTGGTATATATGTTCTTAAATTATTTAAATATTTTTTTTAACACCATAGATATTCCAAGGCGAGGATATATTCAAAATTTGAAATTATTACAACATTAATTCTTTAGTTTTCTAATATTCCTTTGTTCTGTCCTATTATACAGGGTGGTTGGGTGAATTTTCGTAATTATAAAAATACCCATAGCCCGATGGCTTCTCTGGATTTAATTTACACTGTACTTACACTTGTACCTATTCTTCTATTTATACTTACTTAAATATATTTTTATTACACATTCATCCACGCGTCCCTCTATCAGATAATCTCGACAAAATGTTCGCACTGCAACGATACGCGTTTTGTATAATTTAATTGAATTAATAACAGTCCGCAGTTTGCTAATTACGATATTCTAATATTTTCATTTATATACAGGGTGGTTGGTAATTGACGGTGCAAGCGGAAAGGGGTTGATTCTACGCGAAAAAAGAGGTCGAAAATATAGAATAAACATTTTTTTTAATTTTTCCATCGAGACAACGATCTACAGTGAGACCCGTTATAACGAGACGCGATAAAGTGCGCGCGTACCGAACGAAAATTCAAAGTCGATTTTCTCGAAAACAAAGCCTCGAAGGAAAAATTTGTATTCTATGTTTTCGACTTCTTTTTTCGCGTAGAATCACCCCCCTTTCCGTTTGTACCACCAGTTACCAACCACCCTGTATATTTCTTCGTTGAAAATCATTATACACACTACTTGTAATATTCATTTCATGTCAAAATATCGAGAGGAATATATGTTTTGGATTGCCTCGAGGAAAATGAAAATAAAAAAGAAAGGGAAAAGTTGAAGATGATCCAATTTCCATGCAAGGATAAATCAAAGTATATCAAATACTTACAAATACCAAGAATCATGACAACAAGCAGAGAAACTACTAGGCATCGAGACATAGTAACTTCTGATAAGAATATTTGCTTTACACTTATTGAACTCTTCCTCGACTTTGAAAAGTTGACACAGTTATCCTCGATTTTTATACTGCAGTTTCTCTCATAGTACACGTATATTTGGTCATACGTGTCTTTCCCTTGGAGATAACACGCGCGCATAAATAACAAGTTTTGATAAACTATTTGACAGTTGGTAGTTATTTATGTAAGGTTTTATCAAACCATTATTTATATATTTATTATAAGATTAGCCATGTCAATGTTATCTTATCATACAGGTATGCCAATTTCCCTGTTCATTAAACATGGAGATAACGACTGTTGTTCTTTTACAAGGTGATACACATATTGAGCCGGCTTTCTCATTTTTACGAGTGTGTGTGTGTGTGTGTGTGTTTGGATGAAGGATATCTTTCTGCACTTGCGGCCTAGAACTTCTATAACTCTTCAAATACACACAGAGAACAGAAGCGCCTTTTAGTCTAGAATATCCCTTATCTGAAGCGATACGGAAGACACGGCTAGCACTGAGCCATGAGAACATTCGATGAGCAATGTTTGCCAAACATTTTGAGGAAATTAATTCTTTCCCATGTCAAAATTTTCACGGTACAGGTATAAGCAACCGGAGGAATCATGAGAACATCACGAAGGGTCATCGTGTGACTGCGTGCCACGTTCTTTAATTAAGAAGCAATATAGTAAGATGCAGTAAGAAGCGAGCTAAAGTTTCCTTTCGACTCGATCATCAATCCTGCGGAATTTGTGAGTTGATTTCCAGTTATAGAAGAACTGGTAAGGTAAACACGTGCAGAATTGGAGATTGGAGAGCAAAGGAATACAGAAGCAAAGAAGTAAAGATGAGCAAACGGGTGTAGCGAGGAAGGAAAGAGGCGGAGGAAAGAAGAGAGCAATAGAGATAACAGAAAAGCGAGAGCGAGATCAGAAGAAGAAAGGAGAATAGTACGAGGTGAATACAATAGTAAGGTTAGAAAGAACAAAGAGCACTGAAGTGGCGCGAAGGTAGGTAGGTAGGTGGCAGGAGGTAAGTAAACCGTTGAGATTCTTGGACAGTAAGGAGGAGAGAAAAAAGGAGAGATCAAGAAAAGGGGAAGTGAAAGGAGAGATGAATCGGTGAGAGATAGAAAACTTGGCGGAATAGATCAAAGGGCTAGAAGAGGAGACAAGGGAGGAGAGAAGGAGATAGATGGAGGAATGGAGGGAAGAGATGATGGAAGACAGAAGAATATGGAAAGAGGAAACGAATAAATGGGGAGAGGAATAGAAAAAGGAAACGCTGAAGTGGGCCAAAGGGAGAAAGAAGGGAGTTGGAATGGAAAAAGTAGAAAAGGAAGAGGGAATCAAGGAAAAAGACCGTGGTAATAAAAGGAGTAAGACAAATAGAGAGAAAGAATGAAACAAAGGTGAAATAATTTGCGAAGAAAGAAATGGTGGTAGTAAGAGCGAGAAAGACAAAATCAAGAGGAGACGATGATATGACGCAGTAGAATTAGGAAGTTGGTGAGACAAAAGAATGCACAAGTCGGCCTAACTTCTGTTTTTGGTTTCTCATTGCCAATGCGTCAAAACTGAATAATCGAAACCCTAAGATAACATATTACTACGTCCATTTATCCACGACACATACAATTGTAATCTGTAACTATCTTTTGTCTAGAAGCTAGTTGTACAATATAGCAAAGACTTTAATAAGTAACCCAACATTTCTCTACATGTTTTCAACGCCTAGAACAGTAAAGAAATTAGGTGTGCACATAAAGATTCAGCCTTTCTAGGATCGGTACGAAAATACACTGGTGTGTTTAAAGGAACGCTGGATTTTCGCCAAAAAATTGATGATATTTAAACTGTTCTAACTTCGTAATTAGAAAACATACGACGATCATTCCGGGCTCGTCTTGATGCGTGAAGCTTCTACTTTTGGAACGCTTATTTTAATTATCCCACAAAGTTCTTGTATCATGTGGCAGAGTGGCATAGCGAAGATGCTTCTCCGTTTCGAAAATGTGTCAAATTCAATAGATTCTACAGGCATTAACAATTTTTTTGGCGACTAGAATCATCACGGACTTGAAGATTGGGGTATTCCTTTTACAACGACTCATGTAAAGTTGATGTACGATTTTCTTTCGCCGTTTTATTGAATTTTGGATGAAAAGTGCGCCGCCGGTATTAGAATAATCCAACGTACATCACGTGGAGGTTGTATAGTCGAATTTGTACGATTCAGACGTATGTGTGTAGTGTGTACGTATAGTGTGTGTGATTTATGCATACATTTAGCCAGTGTTTTTAGCGTGTGAGCAGGTAAATGTTCAAAAACCAGTTTCCCCATTTTTGCCTTGCCACTTCCTGACATTTTTCTTCTTATGCATGTTTGTCTATATGTGGATTAAGAAAATATTTCTTATTAAATCGCTCATCTTTATTTAATAAACATTAAATATGCTTTAAGAACGTTCTTTATTGACACATACACAGATATAATACAAACAGTTACTTCACCCTGTAAATACTCAGAAATGTTATGCTGATCATTCCATTAATTCAGTTGCATAACATGTTTTTGGAATTCTGTTATTTATGCTATCTTCCCATGAGTTATAAAATTATAAATTTATATGTATATCGAATACTAATCTTGTACCTGGATAATGCGAGAGTGATAACCTCATATAAAAATGGAGTTGATCAATTCGGATGAATTATAAGTAATGCGCGTGTTTATTACGGACAGTCATCCAGAGGTATTCATGTTTTGTTCCTTTTGTTTCGGACAGCGCCATCTACACGCCTACAACCTTTAGTGAGTTTGCTGCATATCTGAAAGGAATTTATCAGAATATAATTTGTCATTGTCAGAATATAGACACTACTATGACGTTAATGTATCGATATTGTAATAATAATAATTACGAACATTTACGATTTTAGGGTACAATAAAGGATTCGGATCCTAACCGTTACTATCGCAAGTTGGCTCGCAAAGTGATCCACATATGTGTTCATGTTCATTTTTCCTACAATCTGGTTTGGCATCGAAGTTTTTTTTTTTTGGAATTTTTACGAAAAAGGATATTTAGTTAATAAATATTTGAGGATATAAAGGAGTTTCAGTGCAAATAATATACAGAATGGCCCGTAACTAATGGCACGATTGGGTGATTCTTATTTGAAATTATTATAACGTTAGTTCTTTTTTCTGTCCTATTATATATTTGTTCGTTGAAAATCATTATACACACTACTTATGATATTCATTTCATGTCAAAATAACGAGAGGAATATATGTTTCGGATTGTCTCGAGGAAAATAAAAATAAAAAAGAAAGGGAAAAAGTTGAAGATGATGCAATTTCCATGCAAGGATATATCAACGTATATCGAATACTTACAAATGCCAAGAACCGTGACAACCAGCAGAGAAAGTACAAGCATGGTGACTTCTATCGAGTATATTCGTTTACTTTACGCCTTTTCAACTCTATTTCGATTTTGACAAGTTGACCCCGATGTTCTCGATTTTTATATTACAGTTTCTATCATAGAACACGTATTTAGTCGCATGGGTATGCTCCTTAAAGATAACACGTGCACATAAATAACAAGACGTGATAAACTGTTCGATAGTTGATCGTTATTTATGCGAGGCTTTATCGAATCGCTATTTGTATCTTTATTATAGGGTTTACCTGTGCGAATGTTTTCAGCCCTGTTGCCACTCAGATATATCAATTTTTCTGTTCATTAAACGCGGAGCTAACTTTTATGGTTGTTTTACAAGGTGACAGACGTATCGAGCCGCCTTTTCCACTTTTACGATGAATGTCATATATTCACACCCTCTTGCATTTCTTAGTTGTTTCAAATCGATCAATTCTTTGGCCAATCAAGGATCGAGTACGATAATTTATCATAGTGTTACTGCAAATATTTCAATTCCTGTCGATTTTATAAAATTACAGGATCTTGGTGAAAGGAATAATGAGGGAAGAAATATTAAGCGAATCTTTGGAGTCCCGTTTCATAGCTATCAAAATGTTTAAAAGGATTGAATTTAATAATGTAAATTGATTGAAAAAAGATGGCGAATCAAATCTACACATTTTTCTATTCTTTTCATTTCCGTCATTGTATCCTTCTAACCTGTGGTTTCTCAATAGAATTTTGATTTTATTTCCTTCTGTTTCCTGGACGATCTTATCCGATGAGTTTTTCTGGTTTTTTATGTTCTCAATATTTTCCTATTGCTCACTCTAGTATCAATAAGTATATGCTTAGTTAAAAGGTTGTTTATTGTACTCTTTTTCCTCATATTGTATAAATATATGTAGAGTGAATCACCTAAGAGTGAAAGCTGAAATGTTTTAATGTATAGTATCAATTATTATATTATATATTAGTATTAATTATATTGAAAAATGTAAAATATGTTATCATGGACACTATCCTGAGTAACTGTTTGACATCCTCCCTTGTCTTTCATGCGAAAATTTTTACAAAATAGAAGCTAGAATATCTACAAAACTAATAGTTTTTCGACGCAAGTAGATTAATAGCTTTTTTCATAAAGAATTTCGATTTGTATTGTTTAGCGTATTAAAAAATGTATGATTTCATTTAAAAAAGCGAAGTTGACCTTCACGTGACCTTCACGCGCCCACCTGCAGAAAAACTAACATCAGAATATGTCCTCTTTGCAGGCACTCAACTTTCATCTGAAACACTTTTCAATATAACTGATGATATCGAACAAATTTTAGCTTCAACTCTTAGCTGACTCACCCTGTATACTCATGTAGCTCTTTTGTAAGCGGAAGAGGCTAGAATAACGATATCTTTTTTCAGCACAAAATTTGTTGTTGAAATTAGTGTAATCAGCTATAAAAAATTTCAACACAAGCGTGATTATAAAATATTCCTTTTTATTGATGATGATAATGATTAGAGTGGAAAGGGTAGTGTAAATCTGTATTTTACTTTCAGGTCATACTTCGAGAAATTTTGGCCAATTGGATTTTGCTGCCAGCAATAGACGCGATTGCTGATCCAGACAATATAAATGCGTTAGTCGCGTTATCAACTCATCGCGATGTTCCAATTTCTAACCAAGTGGACGCAGTTAATGTACCGATGTTGCAATGCTGGATGACCATTCCAATGATGCCAAAAAACACGCAGAATCACCTGAAACCCTCTTTGGATGAAGTTTTAAATGATCCTCGTTTATTGTACATGTTTATGCAACACATCAAAGAGAATGGCCCTATGAATCTCTTTCAGTTCTGTTTAGACATTGGTAAATACATATTTATACATAGTGATAGATAAAAATAGTAGCACAGAATAAATGTTCCTTTTAAAAGTACAATTTTTTTGTAGTAAAAGTATTTGATGAATTCCAATACATATATCTATTTCCAGATGATCTAAGCAAGCGTATGTTAAATCCAGAAATGAGTTCGAATGCAGAAAGTAGTTTGTACACAGATATTCAAAATATGTATGCAACATATCTGGATCCTGAAGGCCCAGAATACTTACATTTACCAGGAGATATATCCATGGGCATATGTCAAAGTAAGAGTACTTCGTTTTGAGAGTTCACCTGCAATACATGTGCAATTTATATTTATATATTATCAATATAATATGCTACAAAATATCCAGCTCTTACATTGTATGTCAACAACACTTCTAGTTTTAGAAAGAGGTCCAAAGAAAATTCAGGAAATGAGGACTTCACGACCATTTTATCAAGCACACCAAGAAGCCCATGCTTTATTAGAATCTACTTGCCTACCATCTTTCCATCATAGCTATCAAGTAAGAAAATCGAAAAGCAATTGTTCTTTATTTCCTATATAATCGTTCTCGTGATAATTCTTTCTTTATTTTACGTTACAGTTGTATGATTTATTATGCGGACAACCAGTTCCAAGTCGAGTTACGCAGTCACCACGATTGAGGTAATCTTTTTGCACTTATAGACATAATAACATGTACAGTTGCCAACGTTATACGCTGCTCAAAATAATTAGGCGAGTTTTTACTTCCTATATCTTAAAATGTATCTAATTTTTATTTAAAGCGTTACTAGTGGATCCGCAAATGCATCCTCAAAGATTGGAAATCATTTTCCGAAGATTGACGTTTTGAGATTATCAACCATAGACGGGATGTCATATCAAGATATATATCAAGGCGAGGAAATAGATTACCCTTCCCGTTCTTATAGCGAGATTAAACATTCCGATAACAGTTCCCACAGGAATTTAACAACATGGCGAGTCAATATTCCGCACATTGAAACTGGAGATAATCAAACATTATATTATTATGTCATCGCTGTCAATAATATTTCCGAAGGAAAATCCTGGACTGTGTTACGTCGTGATCAAGATTTTTACATTTTACGAACACGATTGGCAGAGTTTCATGGTGACAAAGAATTGAGCGACTCGCCATTACCATCAAGAAAGAATCCTCATTCATCATGTACTATTAATAAACAACGATATGAAGATTTTCTGGAAAAATTACTATCAAAACCAGTGCTCAGGAGTAGCGAGTTGTTGTATAATTTCTTGACTGTGCCAAATTTGAAGCCTTACTTTACAAATTATAGCACGCCAGATATTGGTATATTGTATCAAAGTATGGCATACAAATTAAGAAAAGAGAAAGGTCAAAATTTGGACAAGTTTCTGGCAGTGTTTCTGGCCTCGACTAATATTAAAAATGAATATACTGATATTGGAGTTGAACCAGCGAATGAATCAACTGTACAGGAAGCGGAGGAAAAAGGACGTCGTGATCTTGAGTTTGGAGTATTTGGAAACAATCTTGATTTGGATCTTAATTTTAGAACTTTACTTTCCCCTTCGTTAGAACGTTCTCACGTTAAGGGTGCTTCTTTCTGTATTGTAGATGCTGGTAAATGTTTTATCTTATAAATCTTTATAACGTGTGCCTCATTCTTGTATAAATAGAGTTTAGTGAGTATTACTGTTTCAGTGGTGAGGTTACTGAAAGTTCCATCGATGATTGATCGAGTTTTATGGATGATTGCTTCATCATCGCGTGCGAAAATAGATCCATACGTCAACGTTCTACTCTACAACGCTTTAGCAAAACTTCTAAGCGGTGGTCGTGCAGCGACCGTGGTAAAACTTCTGCACACAAAGGTATTGTGTGAGAAGAAGGATTCATCTCAAGTGAATCGCCGGAATTACTATGAAATCGCAAAAACAGGATTGTATGGTTTGTTGCCTTATTGGTTAATGGTATTTTATAAGCCATGGATTGAAATAATGGATTCAATTTTGGACTCCTTACAAAATGCACCGCTTAATAAGCATCTGGCATATGTTCTTCTGGACCAGATTTTGATAAATATATTTCCAGAACTTACAGTTTAACTTGTATGCATATGAAATATACATACACTACTCGTCAAAAAGATTAGATAGTTACATTTAATTTCTCAATGACGCGTGTAAAGTTTTTCGTCTGTATCGTTTAATATTAAAACATTATGAGCTCAGGATATGCGGTTCGTTGAAAATAATTAAAAATCTTATGAGTTTTAGTGTGTAACAAAAAAAAATTGCTTTATTTTAAGGACGAAATGATAGCACATGTACAATAAGAAAATAATAATCAACATAAATTATAACTAACCATAATTACTTATCAAACATATATACTTATTTAATAATGGGTACATCCCCCTTTATTTTCTATTACTTCTATTATACGATTTGGTATCGATTTATATAGTTTGTGACTGTAATTTTGGCTTAACGTATCCCATTCACGTACAATTGCATTTTTTAATTCTTGATGCCTGCTGCCTCCTCCCATTTGTCGTCGAATTGCTGACATTGTCTCTTTTCTTGTGTCATGAAAATAATATTTTACCCCATCAGGACCATCCAAGTTGAATCTTTTTCATCTGAAAATGGTACCCTTCTCCGTTTCTCTTTCCAATGCATTCTTTCTTTTGCAAAGTGTAAACGTTCTACTTCGTGTTTCGTTGTTAACGAAGGTTTCTTTTTCAATTTTAACCTCTTGATATTTTTGCAGGGTAGTATAACTCGACGAACACTTGAAACACTGGCACTAACACTAGATTTTTCCATTATTTGCTTCGTTGTTAACTGCAAGTTGGAAGCTACACGCAAAATTGCTCGCTTATCACGATCGGATAACGATGATGGCCGATCAGTACTTTTCTTTTTGCCATAATCTTCAACATTTAACTACTTTTTGCTATAATCTTCAACATTTCTTAAAAAATTGTGTATTACTTTATAACTTCTTCTTATTACTTTCGATATTTTTGTTACTGATAACTGTTGCTGTTTTAGTTCAAGAATTTGTTTTTTTTCAGACTCGTTTAATTTTTTTCTGCGTTCTACATACTTAGAAATTTATATAATATTGTACTATAATCTTTACTCGTTGATAGATCATGAACTACTGAGCAATTTCTAAACATATTAACAAAGTGTGTTGTCATTTCGACCTTAGTATGGAATAGTTTTTCTTTGTTACACACTAAACCTCATAATATTTTTAATTATTTTCAACGAACCGCATATTCTGAGCTCATAATGTTTTGATATTATACGTTACAGACGAAAAGCTTTACACGCATCATTGAGAAATTCAAGATAACACACCTGAGTTATCTTTTTGGGGAGGAGTGTATATAACGAGTATATATAATATATAATTAATGTGGAGATTTTGAAGATTATAATGTTACATAACTAGTCATGAAAAACTAATTCAAAAAGATGTGTAAAATATATAAGGTAGTTTGTAAAATAGCAGTAATAATTTTTTATGAAATTATTGTACTGTAAATATATGTAATGTTCCTAGGTTATATCAGATTTTGTCTAACAGTCTGTTACTTTTTTAGTCCTACTGTGCACTTTTGTAAAAAGGCATAAATAAACATATAAATATTAGTCTAGGCTAGAATACCCCCTTAACTAAATAAATTATACATACATAATATATAATATAAATATACATTTAAAAATTCAAATAAAAACTAAATTAAACATATTTTCTTCTTCATTTCCTAATGTCTTTTATGAATAGTGCCACCACACATCATTAATGAAAGCACTGTCAACATATTGTTAGTAAACCCTGCATCCTGTATTCCTAATCTAAAAGTTTTTTTAAAACCTGTAATTGTGTAAAAACAAAAAAACAAAGATTAAATATTGAATCATTCGTAGAAATAAAACGCTCGTTTCTTATAGATAGTATGGTATATTTTATCCAGATTCTACTGGTATCATTACATACAGTTTTCTCTATACGTCTTTTTTTTCACTTACGTAACGTTTTTTTGTTTGTCGCCTTATGTATTCTTTGTTAATATAAAACACGTATATAAACATAGATCGAGTATATTGGTGTTTACAGGTAATGTATGGTTAAAAAAGGTCGTACACCATTTTTCGTTATTTCGATATACGGTTATGCAAAGACATCATCATCTTGAAACGATTTGACACAATTCTTTTTTTCTTTTTTTCTCATTTTACTCTGTGCTCAACTACGTACAAGTTTTTTTTCTTTGCAGTGTTTTACATGTTTCTCTGTGTCTAGACGTGTGGGCAAAATTATAGCTCGTAACAATGATACGACAATTTGAAAGAATCGACGATCATCATTCGCGTATCCTTGAGCGATAGTAAAAACGATTCGAGTTCGTTACGAAACCTATATATATCGAAGAAATAGGAAAATTGTGTTCAGTGGAAGTGTAAGAAAATATTTTCCGGAATTTTATCGCCGACCTGTATATGGAATACGATTAATTACCCATGGAATGAAAATGCAAATTTTCTATCACTCTACGTAATACATATGACTACAGAAAAGGTGCTCGATAGGTTATGCATTACATTCAATAAAATGTAACAGTAAAACGATTAACCTGAATTAAAGAAGTTCCTTAAGAATCGTTCGTAACTATGAAAAATTGAACACGTCCGCAGTTTAATGCAATACTTTTTTTTAATGATTATTATTATAACGATTCGTATTCACGATAATTGAATGAATTCTCAGGTCAAATTTGATTTTTTTCGAAGATCTCGATTTCTTCGATATCGCTTAATCGATTTTGATTGAGAACTTATGTATGAGACCGATGTGAAAAATCCATTATGTCCAAATCCGAAGTCGATGTGCAATAGACAATGCGTAAAACAATGTGGAGTTTGGACACCGCTCCGCTCACCTCTCTAGAGAAGATGTACAAATATACATTTTCGTTTGATACTCGAACTGATGTAAAATTAAAAAATTGGCACACCGTATGGTACATCTCTTCCGTCGTATATTATATATATGTATATTATGTATACGTATATGTATATATGAATGTAAATTAATAACCATGTTTTACGTACGTAAGTTTTCTTACTTGGCAAAGTCATTTCCTTTTTCTTTCTTTTTTTTTTAGCTTCACAAGGAGACTAAGTACTTGCACGAGGCTACTACGCAAAATTATGGTGCGTGTTTGTAACCTTATCGTTTCTTCCTCGTTCACGAATTTTTTACATATTCGAAAAATTTTTCCATTCGTGCCTTCTATCATTCTACGAAACCTTCCGACTTGGAATGATTTTATGCTAAAGAAACAATTGAGGATATATAATAATAGAAAGATAATTAATTCAAATTAAAATAAATACAAAATAAAAAAGTGAACAAATTAAATATTAAAAAAGTAAACAAATTTAAATAGTAGTGTGACTTTGGATTAATGCAATTTTGGATGTTTATGAATCAATCGATGTAATATTTTTCTTATCGTTATCACCTATTCAGGACCAATTGTAATTTGTTGAAATTGCAGATTCTCAATTTTTCTCAAAAATCCTTGAGCGGTCAGCACATCACTCTATACATAGTATATGTATGTACAAAAAATAATTCTAAACGACGTTTTGTCAATATAAGGCGATATTTCTAGCTAATTAATTTTCAATATAAATAGCACCATTTTGCGCAGTAATCCTCTCTGCAGGAATTCTGTTTTTGAACCGACGTCGTTTCGCCCATTTAAATAAATTAGGTAAACTGCGCAACAGTCGCATCACGGAACGTATCTTATTGGGAAACATTCTGTACACGTAACATATATTTCATCCCTCCTTAACTGTCTGGTAATTATTTACAAAGCGGAGGACCTTACCGATTTCAATGAGCTTAAAACATGTTATCGAGGTTAACATTCTGAACAGCTTTTCCCTATACATGTTACCATCTTTCGACTTTGATTTCCGAGATATTGGCAAGTTTCCGCTTTAACCACAGTATGATTTTAGTAATCGAACAGTCAATATCATGGCATTTTTTCAATATCATAGCCCAAGTGTTTACAATCTCGAATAACGACAATATAATATAAAGCTTAATATATAAATTGTATCTGCCCTATTATTTAATATCTTAACTTATTTAATAGTAACATTATGGTAAATTATCTATCCTAAACCTAACCTAATTATTTTTCTTTCATACGTGAGTTGAAAATGATTATCTGTATATGCCAGAATGGAGTGTAATTGTGATGTAACTGAACTGAAGTTTTTTTGTGGATATCTCAGTAATTAAAGCCGAGCGACGGTAACGTGTACAGGAAAAAGTTGTTCAGAATGTTGGCCTTGACAATACGTTACAAGATCGTTGAAACTGGTGAGGTCGTTCGCATCGTAAAAAATAATTTCCACTTCCTTGCATCTTAGAAAGATGATCGTTTTTTTTAACGTTGAACATCGAATAGTTTTTCCGCATACACGTATTTACAAATTTACAGGTCCTAAGAAGTAACAAGTACGAGACGAATAAGGTGAACGTCGACTGAATATGAATCATTCATCTTTAGAAAATGCCGTTCTTCGAGGGATAATTCTAGAATAATTAACGATACGCTCCTTAAACCGAACGCGACTGCTGTCAAGTTGACCATCTGCTTAATTAATAAATGTATACTTTCGATTTGTTTCGGTCTCTTTTATCGTTTGAATATTCATAAGTATATCGATCTCAGAAACTGAAAATCATTTAATAATTTAATAATAGTGGGATTATAATTTATAGCTTAATATTGATGTAAACAGAATCGGCTTTCCTTACTAATTTTTAAAGAATCAGGTTTATAGTAATCTTCAATGTAGAAAATGATAATTGTTTATGAAATATTAATTTAAAGAAATCATTGCAAAATCTAGAATTAAGATCAAAGTGAGATCTTGTTAGAATTCGTTAGATCTCTTATTATAAGGATTTATTAAATTTTGTTAGTTCTCGTCGAATAAAAATAATATTGACGCAGTACTAACAAGATTTAATTAATCGACTTTAATATATAAGTCCTTTGGTTTACTGTTTGGATAGGCAAGAAAAAATCTCACTTTTAATATTGAGAAGATCGTTCCAAAATGTATCAATATTTATAAGATGAAATAAGAATGGTATTTAGCTATTATAATAATACCTTTTATGGGTACGAATTTTATAATTAGATTTTATACAGGTTGTTTCAAAATTAGAGATTTTAAAGATACAAGCAGTAATTAATGAATATATGTTCAATATTGCTTTATTATCTATATATATAAAAGTCAAAATATGTATGTACGTATGTATCTTCTTCTATCTAAAGAGTTCTATACTCTATTATACTATTTTCACCAAATTTAGCATGTATATTCTTCGATACTGCAGAAAAAATATTGTGGAGCCCCCTATCCCCAATCACCCCCTCTTAACCGAAGCCCGAGTAATTTTTTGTGTACTAACTCAATAATTTTCAATAATTTTGAGGGGGAATATTTTACACGATGGTGTGAGTGCTTGCTGGAAACAAAATTTGGTTTTAAAATTTATTGTGGAAGAATTAGTTAAAAAAATGAAAAGTGAATATGTTAAGTGAGATTTGAACAAGGGAGAATTTAAAGAAAAATATGAATATTTAAAAAAGTAATTTTTTAAGGATTTAGCCCTTCAAAAAGAGATTCAACCTTTGAACCGCAAGATTCAAAAGATTCACTACCTGGAAAACCCCCGCAACCGGACACACGCACCTAATAATGTGATACATAGTACAATCTAAAGTTTCGAGCGCCTATCGATGAGCAACCCGCCATACGGCAATCGTTTCTATAAAGCTTCAACAAAATTTTGAAATAATAAATTGTATATAACTGTATATAATTGTATATAAATAATTGTATATATAACGAACTTCTTCACACAATAATTTGTTAATTAATATTGTGAATGAATTAACAAATTACAAGTTACAAACTTCTTTTTAGTAATTTGACAATATTCAGTCAAATTCAGTCAGTTCATGTCAGTTTTTAAAATTTTACAAGGTTAATAATTTTATACACAATTTTTAGATCGTTGGTAAGAATTGTATTGAATTTTATTGCAGTTAGAAGTTTATTGAAATATAATTTCATAGAGATGAAGAAAGGTCTTATGTAATACTGGTTGCTCATCGATAGGCTCCAGAAATTTGCACATATAAATTTTCTTTACCAAACAATAAAATAAAATTGAACATAGATCATTAAGTGAAACGTACTTCTTTCATCTTCCTTTTTCTCGATTAAATTCTCTGCTTGATTAACTTGTAGTTTTGAAACATCCTATATTGTTAGTAATATTTCACATTCAAATGAATTATATTTTATTATGTTGTTACAACAGTGTAAAGTAATTAGTTGTAAAAAGTAACCACATAGAAATGAATGATGATTATTAAAATTCTATTTTAAATGGATACACACAAAAATGCTAAGTATGATGAATAAATTAACATAACAATATTTTACAAAAAAGGAATTATTTGCTAAAACAGCGAAAATTTGTATATACATATACATACATATAAATAAATATTAATATAAAATATGTATAAAAAGGTAACGCAATAAAAATCACAGAATATCTCGACAAAGAGCCATTAAAAACGAATTATTTTGTACTTATGTTCCTAAGCAGAATTCAATAATAATTCAGGATTACATAAATAATGAACTTTTATAATAACTATATTCAAACATCCAACATTATTATTAGTATTACATCAATAATGTAAATAGTTTATTGTTGAATTGCTGCAACCATATTAATTTAGTTTTGAAAATTTGATTTATTTATTACACATTTAAGAAAAACATTGAAAATAATTTTACTGTATCGGACTAGAAATTATAAATTTATTTCACAAGATGTAGATTATTCGAAAAGCCGATCTATCACGAAAACTTCTGTAAAACGAATAAGATGTTACTCTTTTTTTTTTTATCAAATTTCATGTAGAATGACAAAGTTACAATAGTTCCCGGATAAATGTCCACATTTTCCTTGGTAAAAGTTCTGTGTCTTATTTCCACCATTTCCTATCATATCGTATCAAATTCAATAATTTCAGAGGAGTGATATACTCATTACTATATGAACATAAATTTTTCATTTTTCCCGACACTTATACTTCATTTATATGTATACAATATATGAGCTTCTCAGAAGCCAAGCTCAACTCCACTTTGTCACTATTCGGTTGCTGAATGTATCTTTGTTAAAAAGATTATTGAAAATAAAAATTTCGTTTACTAGAAAACAGTTAGTTTACATTTCCGTTACGTTAATATTTACTTATTAATCAAAATGACTAAATTAAAACTTCGCTCGTATTTAAATGCTGTATAAACACTAGCCATCTTAGCTGCCATGTTTGTGACGTCACGATTCTGTCTTCTCGATGCACAGTCGTATATGTGCTCTTGCATGTACACGTTGGTATCGGAATTATACATGTAGCAAATAGCGAATTAAAAACATGTGTAGCGCTGTCACAGACTTGTGATTTCATATTTAGAATATATTCGATACGTGGTCGAAAACGTCCGGTATTTTACATTTTTAATTGCTTATAGCTTTATTTTTAATAATATACAAAAAAGATACGCGTCTAAAATTTCTGCTTTCTGAATTCATTTGCATAATTAGTGAAAAATATGCAAGTATTGAATTCTCCCAATGTCATTATACAGTTACATCATACAGAAAATTTCTCAACTTCATTGTGCATATTACATATTACAATTAGAGTAGTACTATCAGTAGTATTTCAGTTATTCAGGTAACTAGTGATGTCACTATGATTTAAAACCATAGAGGAAACTTATCGTACCCATTTATCCGAGAAGTACTGTATGCAACTGACAAAAAATCACGTAATGTTCTTTCGTAGAAAAAAATACATAATAAAAATTTTTGTAGTAAACGTTCGTAATAAAAAAATGATAGCAAATCCTTAAGTCCTTATTTATATATTTAGTACAAGTATACCTTTGAAAGGATACATTTATTAAATTACCGGCCTATACTATTGATATCTTAAAGCTTCGTTTGGCACGTGTGATTAGAATGTTATTTAATACGAAAGTGTTAGAACGTTTTTTTCTTAACACGAAAGAATCGATGCAGCGCTTCTTATATTTTTTTTATACCACTTTGTTGCCGTTATAGTTGTGACACACTCTCTATGTATAATAGCGCTTGTTTTGGTTTTCCATGACTAATTACACTTAAAACACTCATTTACAACTGGACTACTATTTAAAATGTACATCGAGTGCGTTATGTGTTCCTCGAATAAAACGCACGAGAAAATGCCTGTTTATTAACTTTTCTTCCTTAGGATTCGAATAGATTTCGTTTTTTTGTGCGGTATAGCTTTGTGTGTGTGTGTAGGAGGTTTATGAAATTTTGTCAGCTTCTTAAACTTACGTTACTTTTCATTAAACAAACATTTTCATTTCTATAAAAAATTTCAAAACTAAAGTATTAAACAGTCTTTTAATAAATTTAGAAAAACTATTAACAATAAATTAATATTTTGAGGTTAGGTTCACTCAATGATAATTTTTTGTTGAATCTATCCACCTGTAAATGAAGTATTCTCACAAACATTGATTCAATTTGTAACGTTTGTTTATGGAAACTGATTTTGTTTCACAAACTATAGAAAAGAACTCGATTCGCGGCAAGTCATCGGCTCTATCGCCGCTGAAATCGAGCCACAAATTTGGCACTGTCGCGTACGTGCCGGTTATCTAACCCTTTTTTGTTTTTCCTTTGTACGGTTCAGAAATATATTTATAAAGATTATTTTTTATGGCAGTATTCACGTTGCATTGCCTCAAATGCGGAAATCTGAGCTGTCTAACCGCGAACATTTAAGATTCTTCCGATTTCCGACAATCTAAAATAAAAAACATCTTTCCCCCTCTCTCACTAATAAATTATTTCGATCTCTTGCTAATTATTACCATTTTAATGATATATTATGATTGAAAATTACATATTCTCTTTTCTTTTAAATATACAAATTTCTATGTCAATCATCTTTATCTGAAATGTATGAAACATAATTGTCAATTGAGAAACCAAAGTTAGTGGTATTATACATGTAAAATACTGTATACAAAATGTGTCTTATTAAATTTATCAAATCGAGTTGTAAACACCCTGTGTTTCCCCTAATCTAACACCTAAATTATGAAACAAAATCTCCGAGTGGAATTTTTTTAACTTGCTTAGACTGTCTTTCAGTTTGTACAAACGTTATTTTACGAACCAGTTTATCTTCTTCTTCGATAGTTTGCTTATCTCGAGAAACGTTGTCCCTTTATGAACCTTGTTACTTGCCTATAAAAAACAGAATTAAAAAGCGATTTGCTACTCGTATTAATTAAAAAGATTGGAAAGAGATTTTTTAACAAAATATAACAGTTGTAACAAATAATATCATTTGTTGATCGTCCTTTCGATTAGCAAAAGTGAAATACGTACTGTATAATAAAAATATTCGGCACGTTTAGTAGCCTACTGACAGCAGGTTACCATAAAATTCGTAAGCAACTCAGTTTCCTTATCATCGGCAAGCACGTTCGGAGGAATGATTAAAAAGGAGAAGAGAGAAAACGATAGAGAAAATAGTACGCCCTCGAGCGTGCAAACGTCGCACGCTGGGCGTTTCTACTGATATCATCCTCTGTCCATGGCGGCTCTGTTCCTATTATGCCACTTGCACTTGAGAATCCTCACATATGTTCGTCGAAATGCCGCGTTGCACAAGGCGTAACACATTGGGTTCACAGTACTGTTGATATAACAAAGGTAATAGAAAAAGTCCCATAGCTCCTGTGGTATGTACCAGGAGCAGGCTGTGATGGATTTAATTAGAACGAGAATATTATACGGTGTCCAGGTGATGATGAACGCCAGCAAGATGGCCGACAATGTTTTCGCGGCCTTTCGATCGGCCTTCTTCTCTTGTATCTTTTTCTTCTTCTTGTTCGCGGGTTTGCTCGCAGCCGGTTTGCCCCCCGACGGTTTCGGAATGTTTTTCGTATTCAGGGGAATCCTTATGTCGGGCATGTGAGACGGTCTCCTAGTGCTCAACGAGGGGCTCACCGTCTCCTCGTGGTACATTTTTATGCTTGCGGCCTCCGTGTATTTCCCTGTACTGTCGATAGCTCTCGGAAGCCGGATTATAATCGTGTATATCTAGATTGAAATATTATCATATAATATATTGGAAAGTTCAGAATAGATAGTACAATAATAGTAGTAATAATAATAGTAGTAAATAAAAAAATAAGAAAACGTAAAAATAAAGAAAAAGTGTATATGTAATTATATAGTTCTGTATTATAATACTTAAAAGAAAGATGAGATAAACCTGAAAAATCATTTGGAGCATATATTTCATGTAGCGAAAAAGTATATAATTCTGTAATACTTAACTTAAGTTTAAGTTATACTGTAACTTAAGTTTTTTGAATTATTCAGGATGTTTTACAAAAAGGTTGAGCAAACATTTAAATAGTCGCTGAGCTATTAAATCAAACAACTTCTATTCGATAAGAAGATAAAAATATTAATAACATAAAAATGGCTAATAAATTAACGAAACGATTAGTTACATACATATAACTTTTTTTCACAAATATTAGTAAGATGAAAATAATTAACAAATTATGAACGACTATGGAACGTGCGAGACACTGTTTGCATGCAACATTGTTAGAGATGTTAATAAATCCAAACATACAGAATCGTTAGAGTTGCTTCTCGTCGACAGCTCATCGGTTCTCTTAGATTTTTTGTAATCGTGGTTATCAGCTGTACTGATGGGTTTCTCAACGGTTAACGTGGTAGGATGAATCCCACTTAGAGAGGCAGATCGAGAGACCGTACCAGTAAGAGGGGTTTCCGCTGATAACGGCGTTATGGCTTCGTCATAACCGTGTCCTGTGCGACTGCTCTCAGCGCCTTCTATGTCCTCCTCTTCATCGTCATCCTCGCGACCACTATGCCACCACGCGACACACCACATCTTCAGCCACATCCATGAAAATGGTCTGTGTTTCTGTACAAATTTACACGAATTTATTATTAAGTATGGAGATTATAAGAGAAGAACTTGATAAGTATATTTTATAAAGGAAATGTCATGAAATCTATGATTAAATTAAATTTGAACTAGTCTTTAACAGATAATGTATATTTAATATTTAAATATTTACATTCCAATAGTTTATATCTGAACGGATAATTTAAATAGTTTTTAGTTAGATAGATAGATTTAGTTAAATAATAGTTAAATGTTTACTGTTTTATATTGAGGATAATGTTTCTCTAGATAAGAGACCGCGATATGTGTCGCATTCATGTCGTCAGCTCCTGTGCTTGATTCGCTTCTAGGCCTTCTACAGTCCTCCATATCCAACGCTTCATCGCTAATTACAAATAAAGAAAAATATGGTATAATATACAAAGAATACATTGTTTACTATCGATTCAAGTTCCATTTTTGACTTTAACTTTTATCAATCAAGATACGGGATATTTTCTGATTACAATTACAAATTAAAGTATAACCTATAACATGGTGAATCTACATGAAACAGTAAGTCGAAGGAGTTACGTACGAAAAAATGTCATCCTATATTTTCGACTTGCTTTTTCATATAGATTCACCCTTCTTCGTCAAAGAAACATGAAATAATTTACCTAGAATTACTCCTTTTACTAGCATCTTGTTTTCCAGCTTGTAAATAGGGAAGATCTTTTTGTCGTTTCTTGGTCTCCTTCCATATCCGCCAGTAAAGAATAATCATCACAGTGACAGGCATGTAGAATGCAGCAATCGCGGTACCAAATGTAATGTAATGATTTGTCTCGATGAATTGAATGTAGCAGGCGTTTATGGGCACCGTTCGTTGGCCTTCGATATAAGGCCAAGCGTAAATCCACGGTGGCCATAGAACCAGCGAAATTCCCCATGCGCATGCTGAAACACATTAAATATTTTTTTATTTTTCCTTATTTTCCTTTAATTTTTTTCCGTAATATTATTGTTAGATTGTGGATATTTATGCAAATTCATATTTTTATGAACACAATTGAAGAATTTGCAACAACGGGAAGGTAACACCAGCATTTTAGTTGTATTGACTGGGAAACAAATTCGATATTTACAATATTTCTGTAAATCTAATAATTTGTTTAACGAGACACTTGTTGGATATATTCACACTTTCTTCCTATTTTTATTCTTTCGATATACGAAGAATGGTCAACAAGAAAAAAGCTATGTCTCGAATATTTTTCTACGAACTACTTTCTTTATAAGTTTCATCAAAATCGACATCCGATATCGGTTCCACGTGTTCTCTTGTAAGAAGCTTTCCTGTATATGCATTATTGAATAGACAAAAGTAGGTTGATTTCTTTGTCTCTGTTCACAATGTCAAGGAGTTGTATAAAAAAGACTTCATTTATCGATAACACTGGTATTGTGAAATGAAAAACAGGGGAAGAGCTTGTCTACCAACCAGCGACATCCAGAAATACTGAAATATCAAATGTAAGCTTAGACTGATGCATATAAGACGCATAACAAGTTTAAGAGTATGCAATATAATATTTCTTCTGTGTCAATGATGAAAAATGACGATTATAGGTACTAAAGTAGCATCAGATATAATATTTATTAAAAATTCATTTATAAAAAGTTATATATATATTTTTATTATTAATTCATCTAAATATCTGAATAAGTATTCAGATATGTAAATATATGAATAATCAAGTATTCGAATATTCAAATATCTAGGTACCCAAATATCTAAATATCCAAAATCACAGATATTAAAACATCTAGATACGCAAACATCAAGAATATTGCCAGCCCAATCTAACCTTCTTAAAAAAGATAACAGAAACCTAATATGCATACCGATCATAATGGCTGCCCTCGAAGTAGTTCTCTTGGCGCGATACGTAAGAGGCCTCGTAACAGAGAAATATCTGTCGAAGCTGATTATAAGGAGGTTCAAAACCGACGCGTTACTCGCCAAGTAATCCAACGCCAGCCACGTGTCGCAAATATGCGGTCCCAACGGCCAGTAGCCGAGCACGGTGTAAAGCGTGAAGAGAGGCATGGATATTAGACCGATCGCGAAATCAGCTACCGCTAGGCTGAACAAGAAGTAGTTTGAGATCGTCTGCAGCTGTTTGTCGATCTTGAACGATATCATCACCATTATGTTACCGACGACGGTGGTCAGACTGAGGAATACGGCGATTATCACGATCAGTACGCGTTCCCATATCCTGTACGAGTGCAGTTCACCGCCGCAATCGAGACCATTACTCACGTTGTAGCTCTCGTTCCCAAAAATTTCCACCTCTGAAGTCACATTCATGTCTGAAGAGTTTCGCTATTGCCGAAAAATACTTCTTGTGCGTTCTGGTAATTCTCGAGAATCCTTTATGTTATTTTTTAATTATTTTCTTAAATAAATCTCCTCTTCTTCTTAACCTCTTCGTCTATTCTCCTCTCTTCGTTTATGTATGTTTCTGTTTTACGTTATATTCCTACTTTTTAAGTACAAATTTGCCCCTTTTTTATTTCTTGCCGAATTTTTTCGGCTTTCATTTATTGTTCCTATTAAAAGAAGTCGCGTGTTCTTTGTGATTTTTGTAACTTTCTTTTTCCTTAAAATTACTTTCCTCTCTCTCTCTCTCTCTCTCTCTCTCTTTCTCTCTCTCTCTCTCTCTCTCTCTCTCTCTCTCTCTCTCTCTCTCTCTCTCTCTCTCTCTCTCTCTCTCTCTCTCTCTCTCTCTCTCTCTCTCTCTCTCTCTCTCTCTCTCTCTCTCTCTCTCTCTCTCTCTCTCTCTCTCTCTCTCTCTCTCTCTCTCTCTCTCTCTCTCTCTCTCTCTCTCTCTAATAACGTATCTTGTCTTTTTCTTCTTTTGCGCTTTTTTTTTAATCTTAATTTTTAATTTAAATCCTTTGTTCTCCTACTTAAAGCAATTTATTTTACATATAAAATTTCCTTATTTTTTTTTTTTTTTTACCAGCTAGTTTTATCAGTTTAGAATTCTTTTGAGGCTGTCCCTTCCTGTCAGGCTCGTTCTCGAGCTTTTAACTCATCCTCCTCCTCTTTTTGTGCTCGTGTTTTAAACGTATTTCGGTTCTCGTAGAAGCAATACCCTTCAGGCTTCGTTTTCTCATTTGCTCTTCGAGTTGGCTTCTTTTCCAGCGAAAAAGTACTTCCTTTACTATTTTCCGTCTCCCTCCTCCTTTTGTCCTGCTTCCTCCCTCTCCCTCCCCCTTTCTTCCTCCCGCTCTCCTTCTCTCTCTCTCTCTCTCTCTCTCTTGCGCGTGCTCTATCGTTTCTATCCCTGCGTATGTCTGGAAATATTTTTGTTCTCTGCTCGTTATACGGCTCACATGTCACGTGTCCGGTCGGAACATCTCTCTTCGAAGTCCGTACTCTTTACAGGCTCTTCCCCGCTCTCTTCGCATGCAACCAGCGAACACAACTGGCGCACACACGCACGCACGTACGCACGCGCGCTGATGAGACAATTCCTTTAACTTCTGGACGATTTATTCGAGGATTTAGGGGACCGAGGGATGCGTCAACTGCATACCCTCTTCAGCGGTCTCGTTGATGGCGCGTCACCTGCGAACAGACAGATTACCATCATTTTCTTTCCTTCTTAGCGAATCACGGCTTTATTGTAACACATCGCTGCATACTACCTCACCGATATTTCTATCGCCGATCACCTTTATCAGGCGCAATATTTAATTATTCTGACACATTTCGAATATTATTTCGAATCGAGAGAATAAACCGGCTCGTCCACCTGATACAATCACCACTTGATTTCTTTCTGTGGGCAACATCGAATAAATGCTGCGTAACAGAGACAGAGTCAAGAAAGACGCAGGATATCAGACCCGTCACAACATGTGCCACAATCAATCCGGAAGCGATAACAAGTGCAAGGATTATGCAATCCGACGATTCCAATGTTGCATCGATCAAATGCAGAATCAGAACCAGTTAGACTCGCCATAATTTCGTCTAGTCATCTTTTCATTACCCTGCTTCGTACAGTACGTAGGCTCGTAAGTATTGGAACACTTGTGGCGATCAAGTGGAAATTGGCTCTCGTTTCTCAAGCTTCATGACTCATGACTGTGTTTAAGCGCTTATCGTCTAGGGTTGCGTGACTGAAGAAGAGTATCATGGGGTAAGAGGAACGCTTCTTGACTCGATACACGAGAAAAGAAGCGCCGTGGTTGGTCAAGAGGTTGGGGAAGAACAAAAGGCTCAACGACCAGGTAAAAATCCCGGTTACATCGGCAAATACCAGATGTTTCGTATTTTCGAGAATATTCAAAATATGGCAGGAGCCTCGTAAGGGAAGCAAACAGCACGTTGACAGGCGGCGGAAATTTACATTTTTGAAGATTCATTATGACATTCTATAGATGTCCTATTTGTAATAATGAACCGCTTCTTTCATGATTTTCAGCCGTGTGCCGCATCGCTATATCATAAAGTTCCACTCTGCTCGATATATTTTCATATTCCAAAGAGTCCTCGACTCGCATGACGTCAATTTAATATCGGACATGGACCGGATTTTCTCGTGATTTTCTCTAATTTTTGACAAGCACGATACACGAGCGTATAACCGAATGAGAAAACGTAAATATAATATCGTTTACCGATCGTTAGTTCGAAATTATATTAAAATCGATATTATTCGCGTTTTCGTATTTTACTTTCTAACAAATTAATTTTATAATTTCGAGTTTTATAATTTCGTTGTTACAAGTAGATCGTGAATTTTTATGCATGTATAAGAAATTTGAAGGAAAATTAGAAAAATATGTATTGATAATATACAGGGTGGTTGGTAATTGGTGGTACAAGCGGGAAGGGGCTGATTCTACGCGAAAAAAGAAGTCGAAAATATAGAATAAAAATTTTTCGTTCGAGGCTTTGTTTTCGAGAAAATCGACTTTGAACTTTCGCTCGGTACGCGTGCACTTTATCGCGTCTCGTTATAACTCACTGTAGATCTCACTGTAGATCGTTGTTTCGATGGAAAAATTAAAAAAAAAAATTTTTTTATTCTATATTTTCACCCCCTTTCCGCTTGTACCACCAGTTACCTACCGGCTGGCAGCGGAAACGGTCGGCACGTCAAGCATAGAAAGAAGATTAAAAAGGAAACAGCCAACAGATCTCACAAAGGACATAACCTAACAAACAAACACTCACCTCGCTAAAGAAATAAAACAATCAAATTCGAAGATGGTATCTCACTGGGGGTAGCCATCCACATGTTACTTACCAATTAAGTTAGAAAAATTTACCAAATGTCCAACTGGACAAATTGTAGAATATAAATTAAATAATAATAAAAAAAACCAGTTACCAATCACCCTGCATACAAAATATCCAAAATAGAATACTTGTTTTAGTATATCTAATAAATGAAACAAATGACTATTTTCATTCCATTGTTCGTTACGTTCATCAAGATATAAAATTGCATAAAAATTCCGTCTAATTAGATATAGTGTTTCATATTATTATTTAATAGTATTTAATATTATGAAGGGAATTGAAATTGCGTTGTAAAATACATGGAAAATGAAACGAACGAATTAATTGATATTTATTACCGGCCAAGTGATCCATACCAGTATCCAGGCTGCCGTTGCCACCTTCGATGTCAATATGCCGTGGGATGTGCAAGCAAGCATAGTCAGACACGCCGCAATGTGCAGCCAAACGGAGGGAAATCATTTTGAATACTTATGACGACCCTGTAAAAATGGGCAAATTTACAATTTGAAAGGCAATAGTTTATAAACAGAGAAACCGTGCCTCTCAAGACCAGAACCTGAAATATTAACAAACTATCGAGGACGTAACGTTCTGCGTTGAATTTGTCGTCTCGTGAACGCTACAAAATTTGCCACGTTGAAATTATCTGCCATTTTTCAGCGCTCGAATATTTTACTTTATTCCCTGCTACTAATTTACAAGCGACAGAAAGAATAATCTTTCTACGACAGTCTCTTCTTTCGTAAATTTTTCGCCAGCAAATTTTTCTAATACTATCGAGCTCTTCCATATAGATGGCAGCACAGTTTAGCGGTGTAAAAGATTCTAAATCCTTGTAACTGTTCTACGTACCAACTTAAGGTCCATAAAGCATTTTTCAGTTTCTTGTTATTTCCTGCTCGATACCAATCGACGTATCGTAATCATATTTGTCGTATCAAGGACTAAATGTCCCCGTGGACACTAACGGACATCTGAACTAATGGATCTTTTAATTACTATTGACCGGCTCATAAACGCGTAGTATACCTGACTTAAACGAACAGACAACCATAGAGGACGCGGACGACACCAATTTTCTGAATAGAACGGTTCATTTCCCTATTTATCGTTAATTATACTTCGATGAAGATGCACTTCGTCCTGCTACTAATTTATGAAATGAAACGTTCGTTCCTCTACCATGATAATTTCTTCTTAACAAACAATTCATCTTTCTATATTTATTCGTTACGTTCTGCAAGAATAAAAACGATTGTTAAGCAAATTCGCCTTCTTATATTGTCAATAATGATAATAATAATAATTAAATAATAGAAATAAAAAAAAAAAAGAATTCGCTTTTTACCATTATCGCGGATATGCTATGGATTATGTGCAGAGCGCTGAATCAAATCAATAATCTATGGTGAAACGTTGTATGTACCTGTTATATTGATTATTGATTCATTATAACAATGTAATTATCGGTATTTAGATGCACGCAGTCATGTTGGTAAATATAGCGATGTGAGCATAAATTGAAAATCCTAATTAAACATGATATTTGTCGTTATTTACTGATATATACGTAGGAGATAATTAATGAAGTGTACATTCTATTTTACGTTGCGTTATTATCGCGAAGCTACGAGGCAACGATTATATTATTCGAACGATTCGACGATGATTTTGAAATTCTCATAAATTTTTGTAAATTACTGTTGCAAATAATCATTCGTCATTCGCATCCAGCCACTAATCATCAATTTCGTGAACGAATGGCGGCTGGACAAAATTTAATTATTATAGAAATAATTCTATTACGAAATATATTAAATTTGGTTGGGCGAAATTTGAAACACCCTATATATATATACCACACATTTCACATTACCATATTACACACGTCTTATTTCCATACCGTAGCATATTTTAAATTGCATAAACACCCGCAGTTTAATGAATATATTTACGAGAGTAATTTCGAAACTGGGCATGTCCACTCCCTAAACCTAAATTAATTTTAGTTTTTGAATATTAAAAGCAAAAATTTCTACATATCGTTACTAAACTAGCTCCAGCTTAACACTAAATTTACTAAGCTCGGTCAAATGACCGGTTTGAAAATTTCATTTAAAATTGTACACTCATTGTTATTTTCTTTGCTCGTCCAACATTATCTAAATTCTTATATTAACAAAATTTGAAAAATTGATTGATCAGATAGTATAAGAATTTATATCAGGTTAGACGAATAAAAGAGATAACGATGAATGTACAACTTGAAACTAAATTCTGGTTATTTAATCAGGCCTGGTACAGTTAGTGTTAATCATGCCCAACGCAGTTTGATTTTCGCTATTCTAATCGGCAACTGGTAGGATTTTGTGTGGCTAGAGCCAACGACGAATAAATCCCAATTATAATCGTTTGTAATAATTCCTGAAAAAACGACGGTTCCTTCTATATTATATAATATATATAATATAAACCAATAATATTAATATAAACCAATATAATATAAACCAATATATATATAAACCAATATTATTAATGACAAGTTTTCAGGCTAATTGTTGGTATCCCTGCAGCATAAGATAAGTTTTGACATAGGGTAGATGTGGCAACGTTTCAAATGGAAGCTAACGTTAGATAGAAATCAGTTAGGCTGGTTCTCTGGTACAGTGAAATCGGGAATGGCAGAAAAGCAGGCTGGTCCTTTAGCGTGATGACAACTAGAAATGACATGAACTGCTACATGCGATCACGAGTGATTCGATCACGTTCGTTCGCAATCAGGCTTATTCTTCATAGTAATTTGTGATTCTTCGCGATTGCTTCTGATTCACGGAGAGCGTAACTGCTTCTTTCCACGCATCACATAAGCTGTATATTTTGTATCGACCATGTCAAATGAATATTAGGATTTTAAAATCACCGGGAAAAATTAATATTTTATTTCTTAAAATTCTGATATGAGAGATGAAGCAAAGAAAATTGAATTATTTGTCGTTTTTAATATCGAATAAAGTACGATTTACGTTATATGCAAAAAACGTAGCGTGATCTTGAAGTTACATCATATGCAGATATTTTTTATACAAGCTACATCAAAGTATTTCGTAAGGAATACTGTGATCACAATGATAGATCACTGTCAGTGATTTTGCACGCCACCTTTAACACTAACTTTACCAGGTCCGGTTTCAAAATTTTATTTAAAATCGTGTATTCATTGTTATTTATTTTCTTGTTCGTCTAATTTTATGTGAATTTTCATATTATCTAATTAATCAATTTCCCAATTTTTGTTAATATATGATTATACATGAAATTAGATGAACAAAGGAAATAACGATGAATGTACAATTTTAAATTAAATTTTGAAACCAGGCCTCGTAAGGTTAGTGTTAATGATAACATCTTTCGCTGCTATAATTTACAGCATAGCTGTGTAGCGTTGGTCAAACCTGAAAGAATTTCTTCAAACAAATGGACGATCCCAAAAAAGATTTGGTATTTTCATTTTACATTACTCTCGGACAAGATTGTCATAGATCACGTGGATTAGTATATGTATATTTGTCATTTGTGCATACCATATCTTATCTATGTTAACTAGTTAGTTGTTTTTGACAAGTATATTCGTCATGAAGAAATGGCAATATTTTGTGTTACGACGAGCTCTGTCGGTAATAAAATTAAAAAATAAAACAGACATTTCGTTACAACTTAATTCTATATTATAACAGCAACGCATACTCTATGTTCGACGAGTATACTCATCATTGCGTAATTTTTGCGATACGTTTTAGGTATACACTTTTCAAAGTTTTCAAAGAGATCGCAATAGTCAACTGGTTAAAAAGATGACGCCACTTGCGATCAATGCGACGCGACTCTACGATAGATCAGTGTCATCAATCCACTACGTATTTAAATAACTTTCGTAATGACCAAAATTAGCATCGGTGTTGGCTAAATAAATCTATGGTCCTGTGAAAAAGGAGATTTCAACGAATACCTCGATATTTTTCCAAACTGGACACGACGAGTTTTCATACTATATGTTGCATATCTGCGTCTCATTTAACAGCAAGAACCAGAGCTCGATCGAGAGTAAACCGAGAAGCACCGTAGACTTGTTTGTCGAGGAAGACTCATATCTCCATCGTATAACATAACGTGTTTACACTGCAGATGAATTCGTCAGGAAACGCTTTGGACTGTTACGGTGAAATACGTTGTGATTTGTTGCTACGAATCTTCGTTACGCGAATACACCGTAGCAGCTCGATGAGAAATGAATTATGATTTCAGTATACGACATCGACACTGATAAACATCTACCTACGTGTTGGCTTAGGTAAACAAGTTTCATTTTTCGTATATGTAAATTTCCGTCACACAACCATGGAAAATGGAGCGAATCTTCCATGACAAATAATTCTCTTTTCCTTCACTGATTTATAATTGTTACTGCAGATAGCGACAGTGGAATTGATATTGAGGATAACAGAAAGTGAGAGAGAAAGGGAGAGTGTTCCAGGTTTAATAGCCAAACTTTGCCAGTGTACGATATGAGCAGATAGTCAAGCCAAAAAATATTATATAAACATAGGTCTTTTAAAGCTTTATTGAAAACTTTAAACAAATATTGCATATTAATAATTTACTTTACTGTACTTTAGGTCCATAACCTGTTACAAGCAGGTTCTTATATTCTTATTTCTAACTTCTTACACTATATTTATATTCTTACATTGAGCTCTTTAGTTAGTATATTGTATTGTTATTGTGTTTATATTATATTTTATTCTGTAATGTTATATTATTTAACTCATTTCTAATTAGTATGTATAGTACATATATATGACCACACATATATCATATATATGTGTGTACATATTATGTAGCTGTAAAAAGTAAGAATAAAAGTACGAATAATTTATCACATACATATTTTTGATAATTTTCTGTCGCGTGTAGCATGCTACAATGTAACGCTAAATGGAGTGTACTCATAATTAATTATTTCCTATGTCTAACCGTAAACAATGCCAACAAATATCAAGTTTAATTAACGTTTTCAATTTATGCCCATGCCGCTACACTTATCGGTGTGTTTACGCGTACCTAGACGCTCGTAATGACAGTGTTATCATGAATCGATAATTAATATAACTGGAGCGCACAACGTTCCATCATGGATTATCAATTTGGCTCAGTCTTTTGCGCGTAACGGATACCATATTTCCGATAACGGTAAGAAAGAAATTACTACAAATTTCCAGTTATTTTAAAACTTCAAATCGACTATTTTATGTAACCCTTCACTGTCGTATATCTATATGTGTATATGAGTACAATACATGTATAGCAGTCGTGTTTCTCTTCTAAGGAAATTTCAAAATGTTTTACATAATACACACGATATATAGGATTTACCTAAGAGTTTTGAGCTGAAGTATATTTCTTATTACCTAATAATTACGTCGAAAAAGTGTTTTGCATAAAAGTCGAAAGTCGAAAGACAAGGAGAACAGACAGAAAAATAGTGCCTTACGTCTTCTCTCGTATAATTAACCAGTTAATTGTTGTTGACGAGAAATGGCATGAAGAAATGGCAATATTCTGTGTTATGACGAGTCCCATAATAAGACAGTCATTTCATGATAACTTAATATTATATTACAACAGCCACATATACCCTGTGTTTGACGAGTATACATGTCATCATGTTTTTGCGTCACATTTTAGGTACAAAGAGATCGCAAAAAATAACTGGTTAATAGCATCAACGATATTTCAGCTTAGATGACTCTTAGGTGACTCACCCTGTATACACGAAAGTTTTCCATGGCTTGTGTTTGAATACTTTCGCAAGCATGTACATCTATGTTAATAATTCCACTATAATATATCAGGCTCTCTTCGTTCGATTAACGATATTATCTGAACAGTCTGAAACTGAAGCTTAACTGTGTTCCAGTGATGAACGGTGAATATCTACAATATTTGTACCTGTATAACACGGTTTATTATTAAGTGGCATGGTTGCACGTCGATAGCTTTGCATTAGTTCTCCTTATTCAGGCTATAAATAATTTTCCGATATTGTTTCATCCTCGCACGCGTAAGCGCCCATAAGCCACGCCGAGCGATAGTTATTCTCTTCGTACACATTAAAAATATCATCTTGAGAAAGGATCATGCTCGTGGCTAATGGAAAACTGCCGACATAATAATATCTATCCTGTGGCCTCGTTGCAACACCCTTTCAATACGAATGAATATTAAAGTCTGACATGTTGATATCAACAATAATAATTAATCGCTCTATTTTTAAACGAAGAATTTATTAATAAAAACAGAAGTATCTATTATTCGAAAAAGATAATAATAATAATGATAAGGAAAATAATATAATCGTAATACGTTGACATACGTTAAGTCAGTAAACACGAAATATCTTTTATTATGCTTCTTTAACACTAACCTTACCAGACTCGGTCAAATGACCGGTTTCAAAATTTCATTTAAAATTGTACGTTCACTGCTATTTCTGTTGTTCATCTAACTTTATGTAAATTCTTGTATCAACAAAAATTGAGAAGTTGATTAATCAGATAATTTGACCGGATCTGGTAAGATGTGTTAAAGCGTGAATTGGCGCACCAGTGCCTGGTAAACGACGACATAACAAAATTTAACTGGCCGCCAAATTCAAACTTTAAAAGAACGATGTCTCATATCCATCGATCAAATAATTGGTATATCGATAAAAATAATCGAAAAATTCCTTAGGAATACTATATGCTGATGGCAAAGATGTATTAGTACCAGCGATACGATATTTTGGTTAATAGAGTTACTTTTAAAAAAAGTAAAAGCATATTTGTTTTAGTAAAAGAAAATTTATATTTTATGCGTTAGGACCTAATGATTTTAATAATTGGAAATTCAATAGACTAACAAATGTCTAAAACACACTATCCAACGGTCGACGTAACATGATTTATATAGGTCTAGTGATTTTATGACTTTATTCGTCAACTCATCACTCACCAGCGGTCAGACCTTCGCTTCCCATTGCTGGTCAGCCCACTCTGCATTCCACTTTAACCGAAATACAAATTCGACAGCTCTACCAATCACGGGAAACAAACAAGGCACACCTTCGACCACACCCCACGCAAAATATAAAGCATCGTATCAAACAGTTTTTTCGATCAAACTCAAAGTCGATTTAACTCGATCAACTTTTCAAACAAGCTACAGGTACGCTATGAATGTTTGTGTATTTATGGAATATCAATTCAACCCTTTGAATGCCCAAGACGTTAAATCTGAGTTATTTAAAAAGTGCAAAATTTATATATTTATATATCTTTGTGCCGGCACTCGACGACGGCTTCGTGACACAAAGCATAATATCATCAAAGCGTAAGGCCACATGCTCAATGTGCCATCGATATCCCTACGGTCCTTCCGAATATTCGGAAGAATGCGTACGCGGCAACGGTCGCGAACGTCTAACGAACGCCCGCGGAGTGGGGATATCGAAGGGCAACAAAAGAAAAGAATCTGTCCAAAGATTCATTCGGTTTGGGGCAGCGAAGTGCGACGGGTCAAGTGTAACAGCGAAGCAAACATAGTCGAGAAGCGAGGATTGTTGATTGTTGGTTGTTGACTGTTGATTGTTAGATAAATTATATTATTGAACATCGAGAGTATTTCTTGGGCACCTTACATCAAACACCACTTCATCTTGTTATATACGTGTTTTATTCATTTTTTGACTTCGCGTATCTCTAACTCTCTTTTATTCCCACACCATTCTTTTCATACATATAAAATGTATGTGGTGTATATAAATATTATACAAATATGTGATATGATGTGATATTATACAAATATTATACATATATATGATATTATAGAAATATTATATTTACGTAATATTACATAATATTGTTTATTTTTCTATTTCGAGATCAAAGTTTAATACCACTGTTATACTGATTTACCAGGCTGTTTGTTGTTTCGTCGAAGGAGTTTTAGCGAGAACGGGTTAGTCGTTGGTCAGGGGCAGAGTTCGACTAATTTTTAACACAAGTGTCGCGCCAATGCGACATTGGGTTAAAGTTAAAAGATTGAAGATAAGCGAAACGCTTTAATAGTTATTCCTAATAGATTCAACGGGGGCGTTCCTCTATCTTGAAATTCCCTTCGAAGTACTTTTATCTGTTTCAATTAATTCACCAGGTTTCACGTTCAATTAACAAAAGCGTTTAATTAAAATGTTAACTACAGAACTTCAAAGTGTAAACACTTTGAAGCGAGAATTGACATCGCAAAAGAGGAGAAAACGGAGGATTTTAACATGTGAAGTCTGAATGTTCCACCTTGGTGTCGCAGTTGCGCTAGTTCCGACAGATGGATATCCGTTCCGACCTGGCTAAAGTGAATAAGCAATCTCTGAATGCAAGTGCTGAATACAAGTTTCGTAGGTCCTCTTTAGCAGACCAACTACAAAAGGCCGAAACAAACACGACGAAACTGTTATTAATGTTTCTCTGTATCGTGAAAACGTCCGTGAAAGTGTTTCTTTATTTTAAGAAATTATTAAAATAATGACGTCGTTGTTTCAAAGCAACTGGCGGGAAATTTAAAACTGCACGAAAGAAAAGAACCGAGGGTACTTTTAAAATCGTGTTCTTTTTAAACGTTTTTCTTTGACAGGCACGGGTATCGATTAATGTAATTCAATAACGACTAATAACGATATAACAGAAAAGATTATCCTATAAACTCTTTTCTTAATGTAGAATATCTTTATTATTTCGAGTATTAAGCGAAAATTGAAAACATTGAAAATATCGCTGTTCCGAATAAAAATATTTCGTCCATAAATAAAAATTTGTAGATTTAAAAAGAACCAAACAGCGCAAGAGAAACGAAATAGAATATTATCAAATAGTAGATGAAGTTATTTAAGGAGTTAATGCAATTTATCTAATAACCTAATATAACCATTCACTGTGCTGATAGAACTATTGGATAGCTCTATCTAACCTAGCTAATAAACTTATGGCAGCTCTATATGAGTACTTAACGAAGTTATCTGAACGGCTAATTAAACTACCTAAGAAATTAATGCAGTTACCTGATGAACTGATAAGCTTACGCAGGAAGAAATCTGAAATTTATGATCGATGACTTTGTTACTTGTCAATTTACTAATATTGCGATTTGCTAAATTTTGAAACTAAATTCCACGAATCGGAAGCGATTTAATCGTTTAAAGTAAAATTATAAAATTAAAAAAGGGGATAGGTATGATCTGTAATTCTTTGCTTATCAATTCGTTAATATCATTAATTGGTAATTTATCGATCAAGAGGTCTTCGATGGTAACACAGCGTGATTTAAAACTCTTGCATGGTGCCTCATATTTTTATATACTATTTTATTTATTCACCTGCACGGCATACGGTCTATTTACAGCAATTATTGGCTTCTAGTTTCTGGATTAAATTGAGAAACTGCAATCGATTACTCTGCTTTATTTCTCACTACTAAGCGAACAAACTTCTATTTATTCTACCGATACGACAAGCAAACTGCGAATAGTACGCGTGAACATAGGAAATATCCAAAGCGTAGTTACGTTCACAATTCAATAGGTAAAAGAAATTTCTACTCAACCTTCACTTTTTACGTCATACCCATAAAAATATGAATTCGGCATAAACATCGCACTCTGTGCAGACGATGTCTGATCTTCCGGTTTGTTTTACAAGTGACTGCGAGCGAGTTAGATGCAGTGATCCGACGAGGAATCGCGACAATACCAACCGATTTACCAGCGAATAATACGGTTGAACACGAGTCAACTATCGCATAGAGACAATCTCAAGGGTACACTGCCCGAGGAAATAGAGACTATTGACCTGTGATGAAGCATTGGTACCTCTGGATCGATTACACTCCATACAGCATCTTCGACCATCTTAACAGCTAACTAGTGGAAATACACACATCGACTGACGAAAGTATTCGAAATTTCGCTGGCTCTGTAACGAGACGTAGCTATCGTGTTTGTGTAATAGTAAAATTTGAGATCAGTCCTGAAAATGTACATGTACGAGTACACATAGAAGTTACAAGATATTTATTGCAAACGTATATTTAGTGAAAAATTAGTATACACGGCGCGAATAGTAGCCTTAAAAGTACAATTAATGTTAAAGATAATGTATAAGATAGGATCACCTAAATATCTCCATTATTTGTATTATCGTATACAAAATTTTCTCAGGAGAAACATGCACTGTTTGAAGCAGTACACGTAATATTGGAAACTGGTTTCCTTAGTGATCGTTCCTTTTTACGAGATCCGAAGATCACTGATATCTTTTTGTCGATAAGCCTATATTTGTGTTTGGATATTCTCCTAGAGCATGGAAAAATAAATTCAACGACCTATAGAACTATGGTCCTTCCGATCCTATGCTTTTCAGATATTTGCGTCTGAATGTATTAAAATTTTATATCTCAGGTTGCGCAGCACACCGACTCTTCACGTTTATGTCCAAACATAAACATCGGCTCCTATTACAAGCGATAAGGCACTGGATGATCGCAACTGCGGAAATATTTTCGAATGCTAACCAATGTTTACGTTTGAATGCGTATACAGGAATTAGTATACTGGGTGTGAATTGAAATGCCGCGTAAATTTTTAGCAAGTTCGAAATTCAGAAGCGAATATCTCAAAATTATAAATAATTCGAATGATACGGTTTTACATATGGTTGAATTTTTTTTCACTCTCTACAAGAATATTCCAAAATAAATACACGGATATCAGTGAAAAATATCGGTAACCCTGAAATTTCATAATGAAACAATCACTAGAAAGAAAGATCTACTTTGAGTACTACGTTACGCTCCTTGATGCAGTGCAATTTTCTCCTGGGTAGTTTTCTTACACGACAATAAGTAGTGCAGCTACTTAGGTGATTTCATTTAGTTGATCCACCCTGTATACATTTTCAAGTTCGTTTGAAATTCGACCAACATATTGTCCTGTCTCGTTACAGTGCTAATGAAGTTTCCAAACGTTTTATATAATGCGTAGAATATTATTCAACTTGTAATTAATTCACGACTAAAGCGGAACTGTAAATGGAATAACAAAAAGAGGATTCTCGTTGAAAATCAGTTGACAATTTCTAAATATAGTCTCAGGCTGGTATAGCCGCTTATCTTCAAATTGCACTTGTAACTACTTAGAGTTACAATTTAATGGGGTGAATTCTACAACGTTTCTCTGTACGGCCAGGAGTTGGATTGTTCAGGACAGTTACGCGCCTCATTCGGCTCGGTGCCAACAGGCGTGTAAAGAGTTTCCATAGAACCACGTTCGGCAGCAAATTCACGGAGATCGACCTACGACCAGGACGTTCGACACCTTCTTTTTTCACGGCCACTTGAAACAGAGTACGTTCTTTCAATTGGCTCCGCCCAGGAGCTTATTCTCTGCGCGATATTCAAATATCAAATTCCTGTTTTATGGTTCATTTCAACGTTTTAACCACAGGTCACTTGCCAGCGAAAGGAGCTTCCATTTTTATCTCTTTAGTAGGATTCGGTGGAAGATTTTAGGAACATTGGCGTTTGAATACATTCAGTTTGCAGTTTCCGGCGTACAAAATCTTTTCAATTCTCAGGGGTCTCGAGACTTTCAGTATCCCAACCCTAATTTTTAGAACTCTCGCAAAGTTCAATTAATCGATCGTATGGCGAATGTAGATCAACTTGCTCTATCATTTTCTATAAAATAGTTAACGGCGTGATTAATGAATCACGTCCATAGGGATTGTTCACTGTTGAGAAATTTCCTAACACTTGGAAAGCCAGCACACTTTGCCGCGCGCAAGTTACAACGTTGTTACTCGGCAAAGTAAAAGCTTATTCTTTTTTTACACTTATTTTCATCTTTTTATAATATTGTTATAGAGAAGCTGGATCGAAGGACGTAAGGCCATAGGAAACTACGTATCGACATATTCATGGTGATCATGCATCGACAGTTATTTATAAATAGTTTGATTATTAATAAATAACTTCTTCCTTCTTTTCAGTTATTCTTTCGGTGTACGAGTTAGAACAGTACATGTTTCCCAATGTTTTTCCCTCAGCGCCTCGAAGATCCTGCTGTATCTTTTAGAAGTGGAATCTAGATAAAAAATGATCGTATCCGGTACTATATATACAAATACATAAGTACTGTACATATATAGTACTACGTTACTCTGCTGTACTTTTGTAACTTAAAACGACCAGTACCATAGAAAGTAGTATATGTATTACTTTATCATACTTGTAGTACTGTGGTACAACGAGTACTATACTTCAACTTCAACGAACAATAAACTTTAAGCTTAAGCTAACTCTCCAGAGTTTCAAAGAGTAACAAATTCGATTCTTTGCCGCTGCCAATCTTGTATCGACAGGAATGGTAAACATTTTGGAACGATGTTACAGATGAGGGCGTAGATACTGATAGTTTTGGCTACTGTTAGATGTAAATATCAATCTTTAACAATCTTTCCAATGACGTATGTTTATATGCCATTCTTTTCCTTATCTTGATCTGTGTATATAATTTTCTTATTTATCTTTCTAACTCGTTTGCTACCTGAGCTTGTAATAGGCGATAAATATTATAAAGTATTAGTAGTAAAGTATTATCACACTAAACTCAGAGATCAGCATATTTTATGATTGAGAATATGGAAAGAGCGTTATACAGGGTGGTTGGTAACTGGTGGTACAAGCGGAGAGGGGGTGATTCTAGGCGAAAAAAGAAGTCGAAAATATAGAATAAAAATTTTTCCTGTGAGGCTTTGTTTTCGAGAAAATCGACTTTGAATTTACGCTCGGTACGCCTGCGGTAGGTTATAACGCATGTCACTGTAGATCGTTGTCTCGATGGAAAAATGAAAAAAAAATTTTTTTATTCTATATTTTTGACTTCTTTTTTCGCGTAGAATCCACCAGTTACCAACCACCCTGTATACACTGACAACGTTTGCCGGGGAAGAAATGGGATACCCTATAGACAGTACTATATTAAGTACTGTAGTTTTAATAAAATACTATACATGTATGTTTTTTACATACATCACATTCTATGCATTTTTGCATTTTCAAATTTTCCATCAACGATTATGATAATTAAGTAGCTTAAGAGATTTTCGACTGACGTTTCTTTGGAAAATTGTTACTGTCATCGACATCTAAATACTACAAGGATTACCGTGCACAGGTTAACCGTATTATGCTGAAGCATGGCGATAATAATCTCCTTCTGTTTGGCAAGTATAATCCAGCCAGAGTTACGGGATACGGAAATTTATCTGGTGTCGTCTCTATAAATTTCTCTCGGCCGCTATCAAATGAACCGATCGATGTCATTAATTATTTAACCAGATCGCGTAATTATCATAATCGTTTAACAGTGTAACAGTATGATCGATGCGTAAAGTGATCGTTTAGTTATTCACTACTTTGTCACCTGATTAGTCAACTAATAAGACTCGATTATCCAAAGATTTCGAATTTCGTTTAAACTTTAACCACTTAATTGCGGAATTTAATTTTAGAAACCTCCATCGAAATAAAATTTTTGTTCCACGTGTATACTTGTCGAACGTATCTGTTTAACGTAACTCGTTGTTGCAATCGTTCTCGAGAAATTACAATTTTACAAGGAGATATTAATTTTCGTTAATTCTTCGACGTGGAAATTACGCGCGAAGAAAATCAATCGTCGTTCATATCAAAACAAGGAAAAAGATATATTAAATATTATAATGTATGCTACGATATTTAGATAATGGAAAATTCGAATAGCTGGACGTTCGGATAATGGCGTTTTATTGTTTCGCAAAAGTACCTTTCAAGACGTTGGTAATGTTTGTTGGTTTATGAAAGTCATACTACGTCATTATGACATGCAAACAGAGCATCCACCGTTAGTATTTTCAATTTTATTTTTAAAGGAATACGATTTTGCTCGATCAAGTCGATTGTCTGTTCCCTATGACAGCTGACTGTGTCACGTTGCCAACGATACATAACACTTCGACAAGATCGTCCATTGTTCCAACGAAACAATAACGATCGTAGCGCCATTTACTGGAAATCCGTCGAAACTTTCGCGTTCGTTCGGTATTATACTTATACGATGATATATTTAAAGATATAAAATAACAGAATGAACTTTTAAAGAAAGTAAAATAAAATTCTAGTTATTCTTATTCAGTTAGCTCTTTGAAAAGCGTGTACCTAAAATGTGTCGCATTGTTCACACTGTGTATAGATTTTTCACAATAATTATTTATATTTGTATATTTTTTATTTATTCGTTTCATCTCGTCTTGGCCTCGAAATATTCGAAACATCTTCAAATTTACGAACATATTTTAGTTTTCACTAAAATTCCAATTTGAACAATAAATTATAACTTCTTTTTACGTATGACGAGTATACTCGTCATAACATAAAATACTGCCATTTCATCATGACGAGTATACTCGTCATAACATAAGATACTGCCATTTCATCATGACGAGTATACTCGTCATAACATAAGATACTGCCATTTCATCATGACGAGTATACTCGTCATAACATAAGATACTGCTATTTCATCATGACGAGTATACCCGTCAGAAACAGCTAACTGGTTAATAAGGGGAACTGTGCGCTTTTATCTTTCATCTGTATGTTACGGTAGATCAAAATATGGCATGGTCGTTGCATGATATTATGCATTATTCATTTTCAGAATCACTCTTGTGAAATTTCAATTTAAAGGAAAAAAGAATCTTCAATTTTCTTCTTGCATTTTCTACTTTACATGCTAGTTCTTTTTTCTTATGCCTATATGCATGTATATTTGTATGTATGAACATCGTATTGCGTAATACCAAGGTGAAATTTATTAAAAAAAAAAAAAAAAGAAGAAGAGAAGATATTGATGTTTAAATATATTATCATCGCATCGCGTAATATGTAATTAAAGCTTACT